TTATGTATATTCGCATACGGAACGTGAAGACCGCATATGAGAGTCACGACCCTCGAATACTGTTTTCCCTTCCACGAGTTCCTTAATTAACCTTAATTTAGCGGGAAACATTTCCTCGGCTCATAGATTTTTATTTTGCTCGTGTACAGAAAAACGATCCTCCCTGCGGCATTATTATTTATACGCACAGCCAGGATATTTCCAAATATATCGCATCTTCAAGCGACAGAAGTGGTTAATTAATTAAATGTTTGTCAATTATACGGATTAAACAGCTTCTCGTGCGTTGTATCACGCGAATGCAATGTTTCAGACATTACAGTGATGAAACGTCCACATTGACGAACTTAATTTGGCGTAATTATTATAATCACACGCCTTTTAATTAATTGGTTATTCGACAATATATGTGCGTGCACTTTTCCGTAACCGAGGACATTCGCAAGATTTAATTTTAGATCAACGTAATTCATTATTAGTCGTTATACAAGTATAATATATCATTAAAAGTGATATATTACGTCAATAATTCTGGATAACCTTATTTTATTATGTCGACTTTCAAGTCTGCATGTAGTGGAAAATTTATCGAAGAGAGAGAGAGAGATCTTCCACGGAAATTAAAAGCACAATAACGCGTGCTTTGTGTTTCACAGTTTCAAATCCCGTACTATCTTCCACGGATGATGATATCGCTTGCCATTTAGGCGTAAGAAGGGGCTATTGAGTGTACTTACGATCGTGAAAGCATATCTTTCGCACGTGAAAACAGCTTGTGACTATCAGTTTGGTATGATATGCAAACATGTCGTCTGTCATGTTGAGCAATGCGTTTTCGACCGGAGATTGCGTGCATGCGAGCCGGACGATCGGAGTTTTAAGACCGAGCGAGATACCATTCTTTGCAAGTTAGCCAACAATGTCACCACTGCATCGTGCGGTTTACCAAATCGCATCGTCCACATAGATATATTCGCGTGGTGGCCTTATTCGCTAAATGGCGTGGTAATCTTGTTGAATCATTAGCATTTGAAATGAAGCTTTACTGTCTGCATCGACTATGGCCAATATTCATAGTCGGATTTCATACTTAAAATCAAGTTCATCTTCAGGTGTTGTACTGACCGTTTCATCGACTGCAAAACATCTGAAGATGAGCTTAAGACGGTCTTAAATACAATATCTGATTATGAATGATTATATAGCGGCTTATATCAGACGAAAAATATAACTATAGTTAAAAATATACATATATTATAATTCTCGTATCATTCGTTTCGTGTTAACTGCAAAACGCAATATACAATTGCGTATACTTCATTCATTTACAGATAGATTTTATTTATTGCATCCACTGATAGGAACATTCGGATATACAATGCTGTTAGAGTTCAACATATGACAGCACGCATCAGCCATATGCCGGAACATATTTCCGCAATCGTTGCAAACGACGGCCAATGTCATTGGCATTCGTCCATACTGTCGTCCACGCTGTGCCACGGCGGACGGTAATTTGTCGGTGTCTTCCAACTCGCTGGAAAGTTTCTCTTGATTGCGGCGAGGCATCGGGCTAGCAAGGGTGCAAAAGTAATCCACTTTATCCGTCACACCTCGCGAGCTAAGCCGAGCATTGATTTCGCATTAGTGCGACCGACACATCGCGCCCATTCCATCCACCTCCACCGTTCTTTGCCTCGCCGATGCCGCCGATGTGTACACAACGCGCTCACGTGCGCTCGTCGTTCGACTCCATTCGTTCGAAGGGAGCGAAGCTTAACGCGACGGGTTGTAGCACGCAATGTCGAGGGTGCCGGCGACCGCAATATTAGATTAATGGCAGATGTACTTCACTTTCAGAGGGTGCCCACATCTCTCCGTCCGTTATGGAATCTCCACGGAAATTAAGCTCCTCGAGTATGTACGAACAGCAGGCCTCATACATCGTCCGTCAATCTTGAATTCGATATCTTACTTTGGGCAGAAGTTATATAATCGCTCTTAGAAGTAATATAGTCGGAATGCTCTCAAAAGGAGACTTTTAGCTCTTGAACGTTAGTGACGAGGAGAAAATCCCCGGTCGCTTCTCAATCCTGAACTTAAGCCTTCGTTCATACAGCCAGGTACGTATTAAACGTAGATCAACACTGTTTGCGATCTATCAGGCGGTTCAGTGCATACATATTTATCGACTTATCGCTGCTACTACCGAATACAATTATGAGCTTGAAAAATTTCTGGAACATCGGCGTAGACCTGCGTCTACTCACGCAAGCCGCACCGTCCTATGTAAATCCGCGGCAGGGCGAACCAGTTTCTGTCTCTGATCGATGCGAGATCGATTAGACCGCGACTGCATACCGGACGAAGATCGGCGGGCCAGATCGCACAGTGTGTGACGACGATGACGACGACGAAGTCGCGGCAGCGTAAACCAGCGTGGAAAAAACGACGCTGAGAGTTATAGCCGGCGATATAACGGGTGGAAGGGCCCGACGTCTCTCTGCTTGAACAAGCGGCAGCGACAGCGATGGCCTCGAGGGCCGAACGTGGAACGGAGAAGCGGAATGGGAGATCCCCGACTGCGATCGCGATAAGATGCAGCGGCGTTGTCGGTTGACAAAGGGTCGTAGGAACGCCCACTCAGATCGGACGCACAACCGCTTGCGGGGGCGTCCATATTAAAATCGGCCACCCGTCCCTCCCTCCATTCATCCCTTTTTCCACCCGTCGTACCCCACCATCGACCAGTCTCGTAATCTTGTTTATTACCCCGCGCGTACGTATCCGTTGCCAGAAAATGCGGCGACCCTTTTCCAAAGTATGCTGCAACTGCTTGGTTCGGAATGGTGGCTATGCCCAAATGAACGTTGAATCTCTATATTTGGAATTATACTTATTACATTACTAGATCTCAATTTTATTATGATTAATACGTGGCTACAATTTTTATTATAAAAAGTAAACGAGAGAGAGAGAGAGAGAGAGAGTAGAATTTAGGATGCTGGTTTTTAATAATTTCCCTTTTATAATTTAACAAAAAGTCCGTTAAAATCATTTAAATGAAAAATATATCTTTGTATATCTTATGTATATCGTTCTAATCACACAGAAAACTGTGTCGAGTCTTGTTTAATGATAAATAAAGTGTCGTAAGATTTTAAGAGAGAAACAAGTTGTAAAGAAGTATAGTACAAAATATACTTGTAATTAAGTCTAACCACCAATTTTGCGTATTTTTATATATCTTGGGTAATTGTAGTAAAAAGATATGTATGCGCAAATTTATATACATATGCAATACTTTCTCTGCAAGAGTGTTTAATAACGCGTAACGGTAAGACCTTTAGGGGTTGCAGGTTCTGGCTATACCGATCGAAAGTCACACAAAAGTATGGTTCGTGCTGCACTCTAGAATTAATTACTTCAAACTATTTCCATCAGTAGATAATATTTCTTGAATGAAAGATAAATGAATATAAAGCAACAATTTGAAGTATATTTTAAAATATGCTAACAGTACTGACGATACTAGTTTTACATATCAGACGTGTTCTAAATTAATGTAAAAGTTACTATTCTTTTATGAGAGGGTTAGATTCTATATAGGGAATTGTGAATTTCCAACTAATGCTACTTGATATTCCTAGATATGCTGCGTTCCTCTAGTTCGCTTACGTACCACATGTAACATCCCCATTTTTCAGGGACATACTATTACGATAAGTTCGACGTCCTAGACGATACTGGATTGGTGGAGAGCTTCGATGAACGCGTCAATCATTATGCTCCGTTATAATTTATTTTCCTCTATATCGCTCTATCAGGAAATTGCCTTAAGAAACGCCTCTTTTAACAGGCGCTGGATTTAATAATCATTCTGGGAAGCTTCATGATTGTCGTAAAACACATAATAACATAAATCAATCCCGAGTATTATTATTTTAATCAAGCTAGTGCATTTCTTAGATTTGCTGATGGAATCATGAAAGCTCATCATATTTTTATAAATTATAATCAACAGAATCATGAAGACTCCTCATGCTCTTACGAATTATAATAATTGTTAAAGCGAGAGCACCGAACTTAAGGAGAATGCAAACTATCAACGAATGCCTTTATTTTATATGATAATTAAAGCGGTATAATCTAACCGTCAATGCATCGGGCGAAAGATAACGAAATTATAAACATTACGCCTCGGCCGATCATCGCCCCAAACCCTTTTCCCTATTCAACTCGAGTGGGCCAAGAAGCTTCGTTTTGTCTTTTTCTGAAGCGACAGTCTGTGTCAGACCATCGTACCGCTTAGTCTTCTTCGTCAGTAGTTTGCAAAGTCGCAGTCTCCTTGTGTTGAGAAGAAAGGAATCGCGTTAACTGAGCGTTGCGCCGTTCCTTCATTACTGCGTAAATTGCCTTTTTACAGAATATTACTAATTGTTTGAGCGCCGGAATCGTTAACGGATAGTTTCATCTTTTCTTTTTATACAATTTTATATCTGCTCAGCACATACGTTTAGTTAATATCGCGTATATACATGAGAATACATATATCATATATATATATATATATATATATATATTTTTTTTTTTATTATATTATGAATGTGCACATTTAAGCCTATATTTTCATTATAATTTTTAATAACTATAACAAACGTATACTATCGTATATTTATACAGACTTGGTCGTGTCTTCACTGTTCTTCGCTTAATCCTTCGCTATATTCGTGTATCCCAACGCAGAGCTTTCACATCCCAGGTAGCGCCGATGAATGCTGGTGGACCTAAAACAAGAGAGCAAACGTCATCCCTTAATACCCTAGTAGGAACGGGGACGTTACATTGGCTATATAGTAGTATTACATATATGGTGGGGTCATCAAATCGAAAACGCCATATGTGTGGTACCCCTGGCGGATATGGATTTTAGGGTTCCGGAGATCTGGATATCACTCCGCCACGTTGCTACGGAAACGGTTTATCGGGAACTACTTTACGGAAGTTCTCTTGTTAATTCGACCCGTCCGTCTGTCAGCAGAAATTGTCGTTTCTCTCCGTTTGTCGGTTTGTCACGCACTCTCGCGACAAACGACCATCTTTTCGACACGGGTTTATTCGGAATCGCCATTCAAGGAATTTTTCATTTTGACAGTTTAATCGTAAGAATCAGACGATATCGATTAACCGCGGGTATCGGTTTCGCTAAGCTGTCCGCGACGTCGGAATTCATCCGGGGATTCTCGCAGCGGCAGTATATATTCGCATTTCAACATGTAAGTACGCAATGACTACATCGTGGGAGACGCGAAAACTTTCTCCCAAAAAGTTATTTAGCTTTTAAAACGCGTGTGATGCCTGAGAAATTCTTCGTGTGGAAATATCGTACGCGGAAAACAGGCTTTTTATGTATATACAGGCATCAATCGATAATGGATAATGAAACAGTATCGATCGGCCGGCAATTGATATTTTTTTCTTTTGTTTAATCAGAATGTTATATAAAGCAGGTTTGATGTACATTTCCTTACAAACATATCCTTATTTCTTAATTTCTACATAATGAAAAAGTAATAATACAGAAAATGCTGTTATTCTTGTTCTAAGGAAAAGAAGTCACCTCTTTTGTGGAGATAAATATTTAATCAAAAGACAAAAATTAATAAATAAATAATAAAAATTGATAAAAAAGTTCTTAGCACGTAATAGTTGACAAAATTTTTAGTCTTTGAAAAATATATCAGTAACCTTTTTATCTATACTTTTGCTTCAAGATGTAAGCAATAAGCAAAATTTATTTTTCTAATAAACAACAGTGGTTGGTCAATTTGGTTACTGCTTATATCTTAAAGTAAAATTGGTGAACAAAAGCATAATAATTAATTATATTAAATAAAATTATATTAAAGTATAAATTATATTATATTTAATGCATAATAATTATATTAAAATATAAATAAAAGAAAATAACTTTTAAAAACTCGGAAAATTTAGATTTTTTCAATTTTTTTGTGGTTTTTCGGTTTCTTTCTGTGGATGAATAAAAAAATTAGAAAAAACTCAAATTTTTCCATGGATATTTTTGACTTCTTTCCAGGGAAAAATAAAAAAGCAGCTTTTTAAATTATAAAAATAATAAATAATAGTACATATAAATGAATCACTTATGAAAACATTTTGATCATAGTCTAGGCCTTTGTAATAAATGTTAGACTTGCATAAACTCAAGATTTTTAGTCATAATATAGCTTTTGTTATAGTAATAGGTCCAACCTATATTTTAAGTTGTACAATCTTTGACACATTTAGATTACATTACATTAAGATAATATATTTCCTTGCTTTAGGTTTAATCGTGACCGAGATCAGAGTAGGGGCCGTCGCGGTGGTGTTGTTAGCAGAGGCACTAGCAGAGGTGGCAATGATAATGGACGTGGACACATTATCAGCCGATTTGGCACGCGTGGTAGAGGGAGTACCAGTAATGTAAGAGGTAGTTTAAAAGGGAAACAACCTGGTGGTAGCCTAAGGAAAGTAAATTGGGATCTACGTAGCCTGGAACCACTACGCAAGGACTTTTATGTTGAGCACCCAGCAGTTAGAAATAGGTATCTGAATATTTAAAAACCATTAAGACCTTTCACAGTTAGCCTCTCTACTCAGTAGGGATATTTCTTGCACAAGTCCTAAGCATATACAAGCATAACTAAATTGTATAGACTGGATTTTCAGTACTCGCAAACACTTGCCAGTAGGTGCTACTTGGTGTCTAAGTGGGGAGGTTGACTATAAAATCTATAAAGAGCTGGTAGCTCCAAACTTGAAATGTCAGGTTTTGACCCTTTGCGATCGTAATTCGAGCCAATCTTTGTTACAAGATCCACATAATCGTTCTGTTATGAGTTTCTTTGGCAGTTTCTGATGAAGCCAGAATGGATCCTCTTTTTGTAATAATAACTTTAATTCCTTGCATTGGCAACTGGCTGCATTTAATGGCTATATGAGACATAAAATCCGTAAAACTGATAGAATTTATAAAAGACTGTCCCTCAAAGAAAGAAAAAAAGAAATCATACTTTTGTCCGTAACTAAGAGAGTTTAGTTAGTACGAAGTAATAAAAGTAAGCTTGATTTACAATCAACAATGTACGCACATCGACTGTCCAAATTAACGAATGCTGAAACGGATGCTTGACGATTTTGGCTTGTGAACCATAGAACTGTAGAAGACACGATTCCAACGCAAGGGATTAAACGAATAAAATGTTGAATGAGAAGTTCGCGCACTCTACGTTGAGAATCCTTATTCTGTTATACAATATTTCTGCTGATATTCGCGCTTTGTGACTGTCGACCACAAAGGGTTGAAGAGTGCATGTGTGGTGGACAATGAGTAGTGTTCTCACAATGTGAATTTCGTCTGGAATTAGATCTAAGGAAGAAGTAAGCCAATTCCGGGAGAATACAGAAATAACCGTGAAGGGTGAAAATGTTCCTAACCCTATACAATATTTTGAGGAGGGAAATTTTCCTCCTTACGTAATGGAAGGCATTCGTAGACAAGGATATTCACAACCTACTCCAATTCAAGCTCAAGGATGGCCTATTGCCCTCAGCGGCAGAGATCTTGTCGCGATTGCTCAGACTGGCTCCGGGAAGACTCTTGGAGTGAGCAAAATTAGAAACATATCACTTTAAGATACGAGAAACAATTAATGTCTTTTACGTTCGTTACTCCCAATCTGTGCCCGATTATTTGTGTTCAGTAGCTTCACGCTTTCTGTTATTTGAATAGGATATTAAAAACATGCAACGGACATTAAAAGATATTAAGAGATATCAAAGAAAAGTACACGGCATGTACGCATATGTGTATCGAGATATTTACATTTTCTTTACAGTATATTTTGCCTGCAATTGTGCATATCATACATCAACCGCGCCTGAGCAACGGAGACGGCCCGATCGCTTTGATCTTAGCCCCGACCAGAGAATTAGCTCAACAGATTCAAGAAGTAGCCAATTGCTTTGGCGAGTCAGCGGACGTGAGGAACACCTGCATTTTCGGCGGCGCACCGAAAGGACCACAAGCGCACGATTTAGATAGAGGCATTGAGATATGCATCGCCACCCCGGGTAGACTAATAGATTTCTTAGAAAAAGGAACTACGAATTTACGTAGGTAAGTTTATACACATATTTATTACACTTACTTCAGCGCTTACAACCAAGAATGGGATTTGGTTTATATTCTGATCTTAGCACATACTCTCATTTCTTCGCACTTTAATACTTTTTCTGTTTTCCGTTCGTATTCAATGTTATGTATCCTTACTTCTTGAATACTTTTTTTATTTATATCGCCTTTCGTTTCGCTGTTCCACGAATCATACGGAGAGTTACTAGACTTTAATACTTTTGTTTTATTTTTACCGATGCAAATTTTTTCCCTGTATTACTTTATAGTAGATGAGTTCATAATAACTTTCCACGACAAACAAATAAATTACACCTGATGATATTCATTGAGTAAAAGAGCGCAGTGTCTAAATAATTAATTTCAATCTGTTCATGCCAGGTGTACGTACCTAGTACTTGACGAAGCTGACCGGATGCTGGACATGGGATTCGAGCCCCAGATACGAAAAATAATCGAGCAAATACGTCCCGACAGGCAGGTGCTAATGTGGTCGGCGACGTGGCCTAAAGAAGTCCGCGCGCTCGCGGAAGATTTCTTGACGGACTACACTCACCTCAACATCGGCTCGCTGACGTTGTCGGCGAATCACAATATCACGCAGATCATCGACGTCTGTCAGGAATTCGAAAAGGACTCGAAGCTGTTCAGGCTGCTGCAGGAGATCGGCAATGAGAAGGAGAACAAGACTATCATATTCGTGGAGACCAAGCGCAAGGTGGACGATATCACGCGAAACATCCGGCGCGACGGCTGGCAAGCGCTGAGTATACATGGCGACAAGAATCAGCAGGAGAGGGATCACGTGTTGCAGGAGTTCCGTAGCGGAAGAGCGCCAATTTTAGTCGCGACCGATGTGGCTGCCAGAGGTTTGGGTAAGTGGTAACGAAACTTGTGTCCGTTTCTTTCGTGTTTCTTTTTTTTTCCGGCCGTGCTTTGTAGACAATAGGAGAATCACGGTTAAACTGGGTATTGGCAACACTTATTGGATTAGCCGGTGATGCGTTGTTAGAGCAAGGCCAGCCGACAGCTGTGTACGTAGCAGTGTGTGATGCATTGGAACTTTTTTATCATTCCCGTTCTCAATCGTATCGTAGAGCCATGCAAATTCGACTATACGTTTTCGTGTGGTTGTGGCCTCTTCCTTTACAACTGGAGCTTTCATTCCACAATTGTGTTATCACTCGACGATATCTTTATGTTGTTCCTTTTCCGATCTTTCGTTTCTTATATCCTCATTGTTTACATTCCAATCATGTTTGTTTCAAACGAACTTGCGTATTTCTTAAGCTTCCACAAGAGCTCAAGATGAAAACGAACATCAACGTTTTCGCTCCACTCTCACGTTTAATTTATAACTGTACCATCGTAATCCTTTTCACATCAGCTTGAATGTTAAGACGACGAGTTTTATTGATTATCGTAATGATATGTATATAATAACAGGGTTCTGAAAATGCACACAAGCTACCACTAAGTCTGTCTGCTTTTCTTTTTCAGAGGCACAGAGTACCCTAACTCAGCGCGGTGTACTGCCAGTATTGGGCAGACACAGTGACTATTTTATTTTCCTTTGCTTATATCTTATCACAGTTTTCAGACGGATAGATAGATGACTCGTGTGTGCGGTTTGATCGTTTCAAATTTCTTAGTATTACGGAGTAACAAAGTAGACTCCATGACAACTGGATGCGTTAAATGATCCGATTGGTTAAACCGTCGCGATGTACAAATGCCGTTTGTCGTTGTATTGATCGACCAAATGGCTTTCCTTCAGCCAAAGCTCGCACTCTCGTAAAATGACTATAACGATTATAGATATCGAAACGCGGCTCACGAATAATTTACGAAGAGCGCATTGAGCGCATTTGCTGAACTTTCTCTCTGTCCAGTGCCTCTAATTTTAAGGAATAGTAACATACGGTGCCTATCAAAACTAATGCACTCAGGCTTAAACCCTAAAATGCTGCCTCTATCCCAAACCAGACACAACCGCTGTGTCTGTCTAATCTCTAGGCCGCTGGTATATTTCCATAAGAAAGCAACCGAAATTGCCCCACTTTAAAAGCAAACGGGGTCGTTCTCGCTGATTTCACGTCGGAATTTCCAAGCGAAAGGTGGGTGTCGCAATCTGTTTTATTTGAACTGAACTTATTTGGAAATTATTAGGGTAATAATTAGAGCGTAACTCTAAATTAAAATTCTGAGTGAGATAAGTTTCAACTAACGACTATATATAACTTACGGGCATGACAATGTGTTCAATCACATCGGGATAATACTGATTTGTTTTTTAATCGAGAAAGGATACTATAACAGGGTGTCTACTATCTAAGAAGACTTGGAAAACCTGGGATTATCGGGGAATTCTCAGGGAATTTTATTTGGAAATAAGGGGATTTTAACACGTTCATTGCGATATCGCGTGATATGAATTATCACCAAACGGCCGATCACGCGTTATCGCGTAATTGATATTTAGAGTACATAAATCCTACGTACATAATAATAAAAGCATATAAATAATATATTAACTTATTTTGAACACAATAAAAACTATATAAAACAATTAAAAAATACGAAATTCCAATTTTCAGCTTGGCAATGAACGTGTTAAATAGATTTGCTTGCAAGCCATATTATCGCATTGTTCATAAACAAATATTGTGTGATTGAATTTTATTTAATAATATTTTCTTCGTAAAGAATTATAAAAAAAATAACTCACGATTTTTTAAATTAATTTATAATTAATTTTAATTAACAAGGAATAACGCTATATAAATCATAGCCGCGAACCTATTAATATTTTGTGTATATATACAATTTAAAATTGTTTTTAATTTTCTCTTTAATATTTAAATATTAGCACTTTGTTTATAATAGATTATCTTTTGTTTTATATCTACGTATATAATTTTAATGTTTAATCATATTGCTCTGACGTTTAGAGTACACTGATGTTACGACTAATCCGGTATTCGGTTTTGAAGACAACGATTTCATTAGGTATAATTTTATCTAAGACAGATATTTATTTTAATAATTTTATGCAATATAAAATATTTATTTTTTAGAGTCCTTATAGGTTTCTTTCAACATTTTTCAAATTTAATCATTAAAATTTAAGTGATTCTTAATTTTTATTTTATATTTTATAAATTTACATTAATGGAAAATATTAAGGACTTTGCATAATAAATATGTATTTATTTGCAAGATAAATTTTAAAATACTTTCATTTTACGCGGAATTTTTAACAAATTGTCTGGAGGATCAGGATATTTTCAAGGAATTTTTTTTTCGGATTTAAGTAGACACCCTGGATTATTTTCTAATCGAGGAAGAATACTATAATCGTAAAATAATACTTTAGAACGTACATATACACGTTTTACGCAAAAAGACGCGATATCTCAATCTTTTGACATCTGCGGTGACTGCTATTTCACAGATGTGGATGATGTGAAATATGTGATAAATTTCGATTATCCATCCTCATCGGAAGACTACATACACAGAATCGGGCGAACCGGACGCAGACGGCAAACCGGCACTGCGTACGCCTTTTTCACGAGCCACAATATGAAACACGCAGGAGACCTCATAGAAGTGTTACGGGAAGCGGGCCAGAATGTAAATCCGCGTCTCAGCGAAATGGCGGAGATGGCGAAAGCGGGCAATTTCAGCGGTAGAAGTGAGTGATGACCAGTGTTTATTTATCGTTTGTTCTTAAATAATTTTAAATTTCTTGTTTTACGCACAAACCCGATTTTTCATTTTCTGGTTAACTTGTAATTTAGGCTTAACCCGATAATAACGTAGAAATTACGTTTTTCTATTCATGGTTAGTCATTGAACTTGAAAAGTTACTATTACAAAACCATCGGTTTAATGATTAACCATGAATAGAAAAACACAATTTTTACATTATTATCAGAGTATGTCCAAATCGCAGGTTAACTGGAAAATGAAAAATAGGGCCATAGTGATTCATTCACTATTGTGAGCGTGTACTCATATTATTTTATTTCTGTAAGACGGAAAACGTTTCGGCACTTCTTCTGGCATCGGCGGTGACAGAAGTAGTATCCGAAGAGGCAGTAGTGACGGTAGAGGAAGAGGAGGTGGTACTTCAGGGAGAGGGAGAGGCGCTTCTCGCGTTGGGAATTCTTACCCGCCTTCTTCAAGCGTTTACTCGGGACCAGATTACAGTAGTTATAACACTATGAAACCAAGTGGTTCCGCTATAGGTCAGAACGCAACGTACGGATACAGCACGCAGAGAAGCTACGGGCAGGCCAGTATGCCGCAGAGTTACGGGGGTGGTGATAATTATGGAAATGGTTATCCGTACAGGGGCGCAACTTATTAATCGCGTTTTTAATGTTTCCAATTGATAGCACGTAATCACTCGATGGTATATACTATGTCCACGTTTAGTTAGTCTGACTCTGTGGTAAAATTTATGATAGATTAAAAGGAAATGGGCGCAAGAAAGTAATGACGCGTTCGACGAGTGACTGTACCACTCTGTACTGTCCAGTGAGTATTAACGATTGCAAATTGGCAATGACATATTTGTTGAATATATACGTAATGTCAAAAGCGCGATTTGCGTATATCGAATTTAAGCGCATCGGAACTTAAGGGAACCTCGATGTAGTTTTAATGCGTTCGTAGCTGACTTAGCGAGGAAAGTATAAGTTCCTATGCAGTATCAAGCTCGTATTAGTATCATCAGTTAAAGCCGAGTACTCCCCGAGAGATACTCAGATCTGAATGCAGACTTTGATCGGAGTTTTTCAGTTGAATTATAACGCTACACGTGACACTATATTTGTAATCGCGATTCAACTGAAAGATTCTTATCTGACTCGAAATTCAAATGTGGATACGATCACGCGTGCGATAAATTTTAAGTGTCGATTATTAATACGAGCTTCGAAGTGCTATCACTTAAAAGCCAAAGTGTTTATTTATTTATTGATTGTTCCTAAATAATTTTAAATTTCTTGTTTTACACATAGCGTTTTACAGGTTTTTTTTTACATGGTCCTGTAAAACACGATCAGTATTATATGTGTTGTGTGAAGAAGAGATATAAGGATGTTCACAGAGAACTGTTCAAATTGAAGCTATTTGCATTACAATGTTCCGACCAAAGATATTTTTTGTAGTTATCTGAATTTATATTATGTTACATAATATATTTTAGATCGTACTGTTAACGTATTTCTTTCAATTACAAATTTTCTCATGATTTCGAACTTTTTTTTCCATGGAAAGATTGACGATCTCATCATATATTTAATGCGCTATTTAATTTTTGCGTTTTGGCTATTGAGAGTGTTTGTATATTTATGATTTATTTGCATTTTGAAATTTTACTCTCAAGGCTTTTTCAAGTCAAGAACTGGAGCTATTACTGAATTAGACATTTTGTTGAACTGCGACGGGTTCGCGAATTTGACAATGAAATTGTGGAAGAATAATAAGGTCGTATATGGTACGATGATCTATACATAAATATATTAATATTAATTAACATTAGTATCACAATTAATGTCAATTGTAACATATAAAAAATTATTATATTTTAACATTATATGAACATCCTTGTGTTATCTTAATAAGACTGGTGTAAATTCTATTCTTCACGACTATAGTTGCGTGATTTTAGACAATCGACTGAGTAATACGTTAACTGTTCTCATTAATTGTGATACTATCGAATAGGTTAATAAGTTAGATTGACAATTGTTTCCTTTTGTAATAGCTGTGATATATCAAATCCGTAGCTCAGCGTTAAGATATGATAGAAACTTGTATGGACCTTCATATGAAAGAAGGGACAAAGAGTGTTCAAACCGTAAAGGGTGGCCTCTTTTAACTTTTCGTAACTACGAGTCTATTATATGCATTCTCTGACCACATTATCCAAATCTGTGTTTCGTTGTTTGTTATATAGTTTTATGTTATAGAGTTAATAAAATTAACTTTCTCGCTTCTTTCGCTCAGAATTGAACGGTTCCTCAAATTTTCCTTAAATATTAATGTAGATTTGTATAAAGTGCTATGCATGTTTTGCATATCAGGTACTAATCATCATATTAGCATAGAATAAAATTGTTTAAGTTCGTATCGAGTTATGTATCTGAAGCTGGAGATTCTAAATTTCAGATTGATTCAATGAACACCAATTCGTATGAGATTTGTATATTATATTTTTAGCTGTATTCTTGCAAGGCTGCGTTCGAGAACGTCGCCCGAATACTCTCTCACTATCTTACTCTAGTTTCTCATACTCCAACACTGCGGGTGCATCCGAGTAATGTTTCCGAACGCATCCCAGAGGAAGCAGCTTTGCAACTGCTGTAAAATTCGTGAATCTGATTGAATCTAAGAGTCAGTGAATTCAATAATATACTGGAATGAGCACTGACGTGGTGGTTTATTAAGCCAGCAGCACACGATGCTTGTTTCGTACTGGATTGCTGAATTACTTGGATAGAAATGCTGTGTTCTGATTGGTGCATTTCCAAAAATGGATGACAATACACCAATCAAAACGCAGTATTTCCATCCAGTAAACAATTCAGTACGAAAACAAGCATCGTGTGCTGTTGGCTTAGAAAGGCTGTGCGACAAAAGTCACATCTAAGTAGTATCTCGCTCTTTGTTTTGCTAACATGCTATATAGTCTATATAGGCTAAGATAAGACAAAACGGGAATACTATTTAAATACTTTCTCTCTCGACGCGAGGTCATCTGCCAGAAACAAAAGCACAAAGTGCTCATTCCAGTATGTTATTAAGTTCACTGCCATATATCCAATCAGATTCACGAATTTTACACAGTTACAAAGTTGCTTTCTCTGCTGAACGTAGCCAATCATGGCATTTCTTTCGGCACTTTAAATCATTTGCAGCGTCTAGTGGATCGTATAAATTATTCTTTTAGATCTACATAAATAAATCTAACTTCAGCGCAGAAAACTTCTAAAGCCCGTATCGAATTACGGATTAGAATTGAGGTTGGATTAAAATTTGGCCAATCAGAGCCAAATTTACTAATCCAAGTTTAGTGAACTTTGCTCTGATTGGTCAAGTTTTAAACCAATCTCAATTCTAATCCATAGTCTGATACGGATTTAAAATATGGCACAGCATTAATAGAATCTAGTGAACAGAAAGATTGTTATGGTTCCTGCCCACAGGACGCGGTAGCGCTTACCGCGCGGCGAAAGGTAGCCAATCAACGTGCCGTTTTCCCACAAGAACTAAAAGTTTATTGGCTGCCGCGTCGCTTCTTGTCGCACGGCAAGCATTTCCGCGCCCTATGGGCAGAAGCCATTACACTTTTTTATGAGTTTCACAACATATATCTTCAATACACAAGAAAAAGTATCTCCTGAAAATAACTAAAACACAAATTTCCCTAATGAACACAAAACTTATCCGAAAAAAGTGCCACTACCTTTTTGTTCACCATTCTACAGATTTTCTGAGGCCATGCGTTTTCGCTTAAAACCAACGGCGCGATGCTTATTTACATGCTGGATTGCTTGCTAGATTGAAATACTGCGTTTTGATTGGTGCATATCCAACATGAATGACAATATACCAATCAAAACGCAGTATTTCCATCCAGCAAACAATCCAGCACGAAAAGCATCATGTGCCGTTGGCTTTAGCTGACTTTAATCCTGTTTTACAATATGCCGTATGTGAGATGCCGGAACGCAGCCAATGGTCCAATGAGAGAATTTATTTTTCAAAAGTTCTCCTCTCATTGGACCATCGACTGCGCCCGATATCCGACAACGACATACGACGTATTGTAGAACAGGCTTTAGTTGTTCTATAGATGACTGTGCTGTCGTCACACTTCCGCCGTCGCACTCAACACTATCCCTCTGAGTGAGGTACGCGGGCACTTTGGAGACCTCTACGGATGAATGCACGTATTGGAACTTTTTGCGAATAAATTCTGAAAAGTAAGCGTTCATTCAAGGGTTCTCACGGCGATACCCGTAGTCGATCAATCTTGTAATACCGGATTCTCGACAGGACTATTTGACGCCTGCGTATGACGCCGGCCACGCCGCTTCATTCACATTCATTACGAACATCCTGTACGTGCCCATCGCGAGAACGAGTGATCGACGTGATCGCCGTCTTGCCTAAAGAAGAAACCTAAGTGCTGGTTGCCGATTGCTTCTCGTTCTTCTCGTACGTGCACTATCTTCAATGTAAGTACAGCTGCTATCAAAATCATTGAATTCCACGCGATTGCCCTCGTGGTCGTTTCGCACGCTTTAATGTCGTCGCTGATTTATGCCAATTCGCTGACGTTGCCCTCCATGTTGCTTGTGCTAAAAATGAATTTCTGTTTTCGCGACGGTTGATCAGGCAGATAGAAATAGAGAGATCACGCCTAACGGAAATTGATTTTCGAAAGAAGAAAGCCGATCGATCGGAGAGCAGGGATCGTTCTAGATTTCCTATGACGAGATTTTTCTAGACGATACCGTAATTTTTTTACACACGTCACGGCACACCACGTTACCTACATGTGCACATCTCGCATCCGACATTTAATTTGTCCTGCTTGTGACCTCTTTTATGTAAATGCCACGATATGCTAGTCACGTCTGTTTGCGTTTCGTTAATTCAGCTTCATGAAAGTACGTACAAATTATATCTTGAAATAGAACGACTCATAGACTTGTGTGAATGACACATATGTTCGTCATCATCATACTTCACGGCATAAAAATGGGAGCGAATAGGTTGCACAGTATTTCTTTTCGATGTGTTCCGGAAAAGACGAGAATCGTAAGGATGATCGTGTGATTTTTTCACTTGTTCCGGAACTTGTTGTTACAATGAAAAGTTCTCCATCTTTTTTACCATCTATTGATTATATATATATATATATATATATATATNTTAAGATTATTTTGTTAATCTTAAATTCGTATGCATAAAATTGAAAATTGTAGAAAACTCGAGTTAATTAGAATTAAAGCATACAAGATGTGGTATTTTATTTTGGGCATATTTTATTTTAAGCATTAAGCATAATTAAGTTCCACTTTTCTTGATGACTATATAATGTATAATGTTGTTTTTTCTCGAGAATCATAAAGTATAGATGCCAGATGGAAACGACGGTCTAGCCGTCAAGTTGGTTGCAAATAGTACATTCACTAAAGAGAAGCCACATACATGCACACATATAAGTGGTTTCTCTTTAGTATGTATATTACTTGCAACTACCTCACAGTTAGGCTACGGTTTCCGTCTGGTATCGCTGTTATAAAGGTATATTCAGCATTTAATATATATTCCTTGGTATTCAGTGGAGATCAAAACGGTTGGATGTGAAGTTCAGAGCGCAGCCAATGATCCAATGAAAGAACGAATTAGTCAAAAATAAGGTCTCTCGTTGAACTTGTTGAACTATTAGATTGAATAATGGATGCCCTGAACTTAGCTGCGTCCAGATCGTTTTAATTTCTCACTATATACGATATGTAACATCTATCTATATACGATATCTAACATGACATAAAAATTACGTGTTTCATTTGTGGTCGTTTCTGCGTACTTTAATCTTTACGGAAATATTAATTACATGCCAATACTAAAATTGATATAATTAATACGTTGACTGCCAACTACGAGATATCTCGTAGGTTGCTTACTTGCCCAGGACACCAGCTACGAGTTATCTCGTCGCTTCATTACTTGATTAAATCAAATTGGCTTCTTAGACCAGAATCGTGAAAAGTTCCGTGTCAACGTGTTAAATTATGAAACTGTACGTTCAGTAAAGTTGTTCTATTTATAATTTATGCTATTATTTTAAGAGTTTTAGCAGAATGGTTCTTGAATTTATTCATTCAGACAACATTACATGTCTTAACATATGCCTTATATATGACTTTTTGTTTTAAGTAATACAACGATTTATGGTTTAAGAACAATCGATTGTGATTGGTTAATTTCCTTACTGCTTACGTTTTTCTATGTTTCCCGGCCTTAAAATTATAAGTCGGCCATTTTGCTAAGGCCCTAAGACAATATATATATCTCATAGCTGCCCACTCACACCACATGGTCAGTCGACCGCGACGACAAAAGAGCCGTCGAATCAATAGAACGCATTGATTTGTACGGAGATATACATAGGAGCTTTAAAAAGCACGCGGATAAAAGGGCCGCGCGTACCGGTTTTATACGTCAATACGTCTGCCCATTCGACGACTTTTAAACGGTATCGGCTCTCTGGCTTGTCCTATTCTGGGAGCGAAATTGCACGAAATTATATGATTCGCCGAAGATCATTTAAGTCGCTTCATTTATAAGTAATTTCATTGCAACAAGAAAAAAACATTCGGAAAACATGCATTCGCTATTTGCATAATTACATCTTATTGATCGCATCAGAAGTTCGGCACAGATGGCATTCACAGATCAGCATAATAGCTTTGAGATAGTAACAGCATAAAATGAGTTTTCCAAGAATTTGTTGGAACTTGAACTATATGTAGATCCAAATACATGACCTAATTATTGCCGCGATTAAAAATACATTGACCATTCGGAAGCTGAAATATTCGCAGTTAAAAATGGCATTTTTTTATTTTTCTAGATTAATGTCCTATTCTTAACTTCCATTTTTAATTTAAACCACATTAGGATTTTAATGATAAACTTCTGTGATATTAAGGACTAATATAGAGACATTATACAAAAATTTCAGAATACTGACCATTTTATTGACCATTTTGTTTTGAAAATCCAGAGATGTAAAGTTCATAACCTACGGTAATCGAAATATTGCACATACATATATTTAAACATTTATATACCTTTTATTTATATCATCTGTGCATCTCTATTAAATCAACTAATGCATAAAAATGACATTAATAAGAAAAATAAAAAATAATATCTTCGTATTTGTAATATTGTGTTTGTATATGTCCACCTTAAAGCTCGGCTTCCTCCGCTGACCATATTGGTGTTGCGACGTCATAGGCGAGAAATAACATGCAGTAAGTTCCTTGCAACATGTAGCTTTATTTTGTATTTTTCGGAAAGGGCATACCGCGATCGCGAACGTACCGACAGACGAGGCGGTGGTGCACGCGGAGGTGGTCGATTCGGCGGACGAGATGGCGGCGGAGGAGGCGGGGGCGGTGGCAGTAGATTCGGCAGCAGCGGTGGAAGCCGGGACAACGGTTTCGGCAACAGTAGCTTCAAGAACCGTCAGCCTGGGGAACGTCTTCGCAAGCCGCGATGGGACATGAGCACGTTACAGCCGTTCAGAAAAGACTTCTACCAGCCACATCCGAACGTGATGACTAGGAGTTTACACACGGTGGAGGCTTATCGCGTCAACAAGGAGATCACTGTGAAGGGGACCAACGTTCCAGGACCCAATATTTATTTCGAGGAGGGCGGCTTCCCGGACTACGTTCTCAATGAGATCCGCAGGCAAGGTTTCGGCGAACCGACTGCGATTCAGGCGCAAGGCTGGCCCATTGCTTTATCCGGTCGCGATATGGTCGGCATAGCGCAGACGGGTTCGGGCAAAACATTGGCGTACATTCTGCCTGCGATCGTGCACATCAATCATCAGCCTCGGCTGAGCAGGAACGACGGACCGATCGCGTTGATCCTCGCGCCGACCCGGGAGTTGGCGCAGCAGATTCAGCAGGTGGCGTCGGACTTCGGTATGTCCTCGCAAGTGCGGAATACGTGTATCTTCGGCGGTGCGCCCAAAGGACCACAGGCGCGCGATCTCGAACGTGGAGTGGAAATTTGCATCGCCACGCCGGGACGCCTGATAGACTTTTTAGAACGGGGCACTACGAATCTACGTAGGTGTACGTATCTAGTGTTGGACGAGGCTGATAGGATGCTCGACATGGGCTTTGAGCCGCAAATTAGGAAAATTGTAGAACAAATACGACCCGACCGTCAAACGCTCATGTGGTCCGCCACATGGCCGAAGGAAGTGCGGAATCTCGCGGAAGAGTTCTTGACGGACTACATACAGATCAACATTGGCTCGCTGCAGTTGGCTGCCAATCACAATATCCTTCAGATCGTGGACGTGTGCGAAGAATATGAGAAGGAGGGTAAACTCATGAAACTATTGGAAGAGATTTCCAACGAACCGGAAAATAAGACTATAATATTTGTGGAAACTAAGAGGAAAGTGGATGATATAACAAGAGCTATTAATAGATACGGATGGCAAGCGATTGGCATCCATGGAGACAAAAGCCAACAAGAGAGAGACTATGTACTAAACCGTGAGTGCTCATCATTACTCGATATGCGAAAATGCAATCTTCAATCTGTTTGATATTTACGCAATTAAAATTTACTACACACTACCCAGAAATTTAAATATTATAAATATAATATTTATATATATATTAGTACGTATATAGATTTATATGTATATTAATATCTAATCATAAAATATAATAAATATATTGCAAATGTATAATAAATATATTTACATTATATATATTATATATAACTATATATTAATATATACATAAATTTATATATATATGTATAAATATTTATATATTTAAATTATATATTTTTATAATATATTTTATAATTATATTATATATATATATATAATATAACCATTTTTTTATATATTTTGCAAAAATGAGTCTGAAATTTAAAGATATAGAAAGAACTATAAGAAGAAGTGTTATACGATATTGCGAGTTTTAGTATATCATATAATGTGTCAGGATGATACTTTTTGGAAAAAAAAACGTAATTCTTTACGTCTTGTTTTTCCTTAAGGCTATACTGTTATTTGTAGAGTTCCGGAATAGCAGATCAGCGATCCTAGTGGCTACTGATGTGGCGGCAAGAGGTCTAGGTAAGAATTTCCAGATACATGGGTATGATGTAAGGGTCAGGCTGCGATGGTTATTTCACATTTGTGAGAGTCGTGGTATTGTGATGTGGCAACGGATAACGGCATGTGCCAGACTGATTGACGTTACTCCTTTACCAGTGTGGCTGGAGATAATTCCATGAACTCTTAGGAATACAAGGAGAGCGTACAAACTCGATCATTCTCTCCGTTTTAATTTCGCCGTTGGCACTTTTCAGTTTCGTTGTTTTCACGCTGATTTCTTTCCGCCGGCTAATTATTAATTCGGGGGAGTTCGGTTGCGCACGTTCGCGCACACCGGAACGCTTAACATCGCCATTGTCCTTTCAGCGATATACGATTAACGCAGGGATAAGTTTTAACTTCTTCTGTTTTATTATAAGCTAACATAGGCAGATTTTGACGTTCTTTTATTATAATTTCCTCGCACAAGCGCGATTACGAGTATTTCGCGATCAATTCGAATTCACATTGCACGTGAGTGCAATAATGACAGAAAGAACGTCGAAATATTTCAGCTTCGAGGGTGAGGGAGCCAGGTAAGCAAAGGTTAGCCAGGCTTATCTCTTTCGATTTTGATCTCAGATCTCGAGACAAGTCCCGTCAGTCTGGTATTAACGTGCTGTTCTATGTGTTTTCAGAGGCACATGCGACGGAGTTTTATCAATGATAAGAACTCTGGAGAGCTTGCTTGGAAAATGTAATTGAATGGGGCGTGACTGCTGGTCTCCGCCCCCTCGCAACAAGCTATTGTTACGCTGTGCCTCGGCCCACCGTGCCACTCGAAAAACACTCTCACTCTGTACCTGCGGCGGTCCAAAGTATGGAAATATCGTAACGTTAGGGCGTCTGCCAGGACAACCGAAACAAAAAAAAAATGATATATGCGAAGGGATAATAGAGATTATTGCCGGTTACATTCGTTGCAAAAGTAGATCGTAATAAATTACATCAAGTTGCATTGCAATAATTGTGATATCCTAGTTCCCGGTCGATTATCGGCATTCTTTTTTTTTCTTTTTTTTCTTTTTTTTTTTCTCGAAATTGTCACCATTATACGAATGAACGTGAGTTTCACCGAGGATTTTGTCATTTCGGGTGAAGAAATTGGACAAGGAGTAAGCACAGTGATTATCGATCACAATTTCGCGAAACGTTGAAGCGCAGAGGGGGTGTTCACAATATTGCAGCGCATAATTCTTGATGCTAATTAGTCAATGGAGTACGCGCATGGGGTTGAGTGGAGAACACACGCAAGACGCACGCTTGGTGTTCCAACCATTCCAACCGGAGCAGTGTACAAGGACCAAATTTTGAAATACCAGCAGAGATCCATACTTTGGTGCGGTAGAGAAGGGTGTAACTTTGCCTAAGAATAATACCGTTGAGCTCGCTAATACGTGAAGCGAGAATTCCATGAGAACCATCTGAGCTCTGATTCCTCTACATTTCCAAAAAAATGTATTTACATTTCCAGCTATAGTCGCAAACAGGTAATTAATATGCAAGACTTGCTCTTTGTGGTCAACTTACCTTGAGTGTTAATGTGCGAATTGCAAATGGAACTAAAGACGTTTCATTGACCCCTCCCTCTTCCTCAAAATTGAAATCCTTGATTATGTTAAGGGTAGGTAATCGTTTGTCTCTTTTTTTTTTTCTCTCTTAGTTGGGAATCCCCCCTTTCCTCCCGAAGTATCAGGTATTACGAACAGTGACGATACGGAGGGAGGCAAGAGTCTGAGACTGACGACGATGTCGTCGTCGATGTAAAATTACAAGATATAAGAGAATCTCCTCGCTCTTTATTTCCATTAGCAAAGAGACAGCGTCTTTGGTAACTGCTTGGATCGAGATTCGCTTTATAAGTTAATTGAACCACAAAAGAACAAGTATTTTTCCCGTGCCGCGATTGTGACTCCGTCTATTACGCAGATGTCGAGGATGTCAAATTTGTGATTAACTTGGACTATCCGTCCAACTCTGAGGACTATGTGCACCGTATCGGACGTACGGGTCGCTCGCAGCGTACGGGAACCGCGTATGCCTTTTTCACGCCAGGCAATGCGCACAAGGCTAGTGACTTAATCCAAGTTCTCGAAGAGGCTAAGCAAGTTGTCAATCCGAAACTGTACGATCTGTCGAGGAATCCCGGCATTTATAAGAGTAAGTCTCGCTCATTCTTCACCGTATGGATTTTTGACACGCACATACACACACACATTTTTCCAACGCGAAACGAATTTGCTTCTCTAGATCTGTTCTTTTTCGCTGAACTGGAAAGAAAAAAAAAATACTGTACAAACAGTAAATATCTAAACATTGTCTTCGAGTTTTGTTTAAAAAAAACTACTTTTGTTTCAACCTAATATATTCAGCGAAAAAGAACAACATACCTATTTCGTTCGAATATGAAAGTAACGATAAAAGTATACGTGTCCACTTACGATATTCCCTTATCGCATATACAAATTAGTGCGCTATTTGCATATCAAATTCTGCACGTTTGATAATTAGGGGGTCGATACGGCGGTCGCAGCGGAGGTGGTGGCGGCGGACGAGGATCCGGCGGTCGCGGCGGCTCACGCGGATCTCGTGGTGGCCGCGATGCACCAGACAGGAGCAGATTCGACCGTTCCGGTGGTGGAGCGAGTGATCGCAACAAATGGGGCGGAAGTAGCAGCGGTTAGTTCTTCTAAAATTCAAGATGTTTCTCAGCATCCTCTAGCATTATCGACTAAGGGATGTAACGTCGCTGTCGAATGTTCCAACACAGCCGATGGTGCGATGAAAGAATTTACTTTTCGAAAACGAGTTCTCCTCATCGGACCATCGGCTGCGTTCCCACCAGACATATTGTAAAATAGGCTTTAGGTCTGCTGCACAATATCTCGGATGTCGCTAGTCGTACACTTGGATCGGTATTCATAGTTAGATCTTATATTTAACCTCGTCTTCAGTTTACCTTTAAGTATTGCTCGGCTTGTTTTACTGGCTTTGAAGTTTCATCGTCGATCTGAGATCTGACTACGAATACCTTCTCAACTGTATGACTAACATACGACGTAGAAGCAGAACAGGTTTAAAACTGATTGGATCGCCTCCGGGAGTGATTAATGACGTCATGAGATTAGCTTGCCGCAGTCGGGAGCGCCGTTGAATCATGTAGCATACAAACGTTATTGATCTCCATATCGAGATACTTTTATATATATATATATAAAATTATGCGTGTATGCTGCACGCTCGCTCGCGTGTGTTTACATGTAAAAGAGGGGGGGGGGGAAGGGTTGTCAAACGAAAATAACATAATTTTTAGCGACAGGATATTTTCAACCGAGGCAAAAGCGAAAGTGCGCTGCGCATCTAAAATAAGCGATGGTTTTAAGAACGTATACTGTAGTATCGAGACGTGATGTGAAATCTTGATAACGTCGGGCGCTTTTTGTTCATGCAGGTGGAATAACCAGCGGAGGATACGGCGCCAAGTCCTTCCCTCAGAATAGCTTTGGCGGTGGTGGGAGCGGTGGTGGCTCGAGTAGCTACAACCAAAACAGTGGCGGATACGGGAGTAGCGGTGGCAGTTACAGACAACAAAACGGCTATTGACTTCGCGGTCTCGAATATGGACATTAGACGTGTTTATTTTTAGCACCATCTTCTGCACTCAATTTCTTCGTTGTTCTTTTTTTTTTTCTCTTTTTCTTTTTTAATTTAATGAACCTTTTACATTTTATTGCGAAGTGCGAGAGTGAAAAAATGTTAGGGGGAGATGCGACTGATAGATATTACGGAGAAGCGAAGAAAGGAGGAGGGAGATTTTTCATGATGTCCATGATATAGCTGTTCATTGTTTCTTGTCTCTCTTAACGTGTTCGTGAGTTTAGGAGCGCGATTCCTAATCGATCGCACGTTCGATCGCGTCGTGTCATTTACATTCTCAAGCGCGCGTTAGCTTTCATCTTTTTTTTTCCAGTAAGCGTAAGGACTGTACTAGCTAGAATAATTGCAAATGATTGCACGGTATTAAATTTAGACGAGCTTTCAACGATGTAATAGTATTACATACAGTGGAATAAAGTGTAAGAACCAAGCGGGAGAAGGACCGAAACTGCGCGTTTTTCCCTGCGTTTCTTCCCTGCTTCGATCTTCCTTCGGCGTCGAGCACATGTATCTATCTTGTTTCTGCTTGAAACCTTAGGACCGGTAATTTGTAGCGCTATAATTCTCTAAGTTATAACGAACAATGGAATAAAACTGTGAGAGAAGCCGGTACATTTATGAGATAAGCGCTGATTTCTTAACACTGTCATAACGGATCTTCCTGTTACGTCATATTAAGCTTACGGATGCTTGATAGAGGCGGAGCATGGCTGATACCGTGACAAGCCCGTAACGTAAAGGAGTTCGACCGCGGGACATAGACATCATCCGCAATGAAAGTGTTAAGGACGTGGGTTTGTAAGCGAAAGCGAGGCAGAAATACGCGAATAGTGAACCAAAAGACACTAAAAGTCTCCCCACGTTACTCGCCGATTGTTAAAGGTATCACATCGCATATGCCGTCATGTTTTGCTCACGCGTGAATTTCTCAAAAAGCCGGCAGTAGATTTTTAAACACGCCTGAATCCAAAACCGGCAATCCCGACCTTTTATACTCACGTGATTACCACTTATCACGAGGAGTTAAATTGTGCGTATGATACGAGAATGAATCATGCCACATTGTGGCAACACAAGCAATGTTACGAATTACTATAACGAGAAAGGCCCGTTATCAGAGAGAAAGCCAGACGTTAAGAATTCCATTACGTGTTACTGATAACAATTATCACAATCGAGGCCGGGAGGAAGGCTCGGCTTCATTCATTGGCTGTTTCGTTTATCGCATGTCGTATGATCCGGTCAGAGTTTGTCTTCCGATCCGGGCAAAAACAGTTGCCCCTGGATGCACTCCATCGCCACGCTCGTCGCGCCCGAGTTAGACATTAGAACGTGGTGTCTGCTGATAGCATTCCCTACTTTTTTTTTTTACGATAAGCCGGCTTCAGTTGAATCGTCAATAATATCACGAATATTTCCATTAATAGCGCTATTATGAGATATTAAAATATGCAAAAAGTGTCTGGTGTTCCCTTTTTTTTGTGTAGTAATATTCGATAGATATATGAAAATAATCGAAAGAAATCAGGATCTTATTATATTTAAGAAGTAATTGAAATATTAATAGTATATGTATTAATATTACTGTGTAATTATAATTAATATTAATAGTATACTATTAATGGCATATATAATATTTATCACTAATTATATAATTAATATAAATATTAATAGTTGAGCTTTGTAATTGTGACTTTATTATCGCGTACTTGTAGATTGTCCTCTTATTCATTTCTTTTATTGCACAATGAATTACATTACATAATGTTTAATATATTATTATATTGTATGTATTATGAATTCATATCTCAGCCGTTTAAAAGAATTTGTTATTAGAAAGTTTTTTTTGTTTCTTTCCTTTCGCGTCAAACCGAAAATGCTTGGTAAGATTAATAACATCGAATGTGCGCTATTGATATTTTTATATTTTATCTTTTCTTCTACACAGCTGAGTTTAAAGTCTGTTTCTTATACGTCAATATGTTTTTTTAAACATACAATCCGATAAATTCTGCACGCCTAATCATTGAGCATGCATATTTCTTTAATATAATTGACATTGGCGTATGTAGTCTGTTCATTATTGCTAAATCGCATAAGTAAGAACTGTATAAGTTAGAACAAGGCAAGTATATTTTGTTTTGCTCTAACTTATTGCATTAACTCAGTGCAGCTGTAAAGGAACAGACCAATTGACAGGAATTCATGCACATTAGAATTTAAAATTAAGACTTGCGAAAGATGCCGAGAATCAAAAGTTGCAAGTTAAACAGATCCAACATCATTGCTGCGAATGTGTCGTTATGTAGGTGACCTATTAAAACTATATACATATACATGATGCGGCAAAACTCGTCACTGAGAAGGCGGCGCCTTCACATTCCTCGGATAGCCTGCGAGCGATCGTGGCTGATCTAATATTTCACGAGTAAAATTTCCCTTTCCGCGGCGATGACTTCCTGACGAATCTCGCCGAAATTCGTCTATAATTTCGAAGGCTTGGGAATTTCTGGTTTTCTCCACGGATTCCTCGGTTTCTCTCCCAAGGGTGGAAAAATCCGTTTAGAAAAATTCACGTGCGTTCGGTCGAAGCTGCCACATTCACCTCTTCCCCTCGAAATGATCTAAGAAACCAGAAGAATTCTGGGAAAAATGTTTCTTTTTTTCCCGAGCCTCCAGAACTATGGATTCTTCTCTTCCTCGTGACAAAGAAGAGAACGATAAGAAGGCGGGAGAGCGGCGCGTCGACGCTACGAAATCTCTCTCTCTCTCTCTCTCTCTCTCTCGGGATGAAATTCACAGTCGTGATTCGCGAGGTGCACAAGAACGGAGAACGGTCATGGTTTTTTTCACGACACGTCGGGGGCGAGAAGCGGTCGAGAATACACGGCACAAAACGCAGAAATCGGTCTAGATCCGCGCTAATGTAATGACGACACCACTTAGCACGTGGGTGGGGCGCGCTATGCGGCGGATTTTAAAGGAGACGTGTGGCAGGCCGACGCGCGCAGTTGCTCCGAGGAAGCGGTCGGTGGTGGTTGCCTCTCTCTCTCTCTCTTTCCTTTCTGTCTTTCTCCTCTCCTCCCTTTTCTTTCTCTCGCTCCCTCTCTTCGAGGTTAGACCGACCGATAGTCGAGCGCCGTTCGCGTGACTTGAAGGACACGCGTCAGTCGAGTCTATCGGGGAAACACACGCGCTCCGTTATCGAGATCATCATGACAGAAGGGACTCGCAAGGAGGTCCGCGTCTGGTGCGACGGGTGGTGAGTATGTCTCTGTCTCCGTCCGCGGTGGCGTTTTCGACTCGTGTCGAGAGATAACGTTGCTTAACATGTCCGGTCGGCTATGAGACGGCAGCGAAGCGTTGTAACACGTGTGCTCTTCGCGACGGCGGAGAGTCCGTCGGCGCGTGGATCTCGTCGTCCGCGGGTTTCGCCCGCAACCACGCGAATAAAGCCGGCTCCACACGATGCGGCGAGCGTTCGTGGTTATATCGATCGTCTTCGCGGGCGAATGCAACGCACGTGATGATGTATAAACATGTAATGTATAAATTGTAATACAATGCAATATAATAACGTAACGTAAATAATATATATGATCGATATGAATGAATATATAATCGCCGTTTTCCCGCATTCCGCCACATCGTGTGGGGCCGACTTAATCGATAAGACCGTGCGCGCGGCACACATTTCCGCCTGACGTCCGCGCGTTTCGGCATGCGAAGTCGCCGGCCTGGCGGGTTTCGCCCCCCCCCCCCCTCCCACTGAATCATCAGCCTCGTCTCGATCACGACTCGCGTACACTCGTGAATTAAAATTTAATTAGAGTCGCTGGACGCGAGCATGAATGTATTAGGAGTGACGTGACCGTTTTGGAGAAGGGGGCAAACAGGGGTTGGCTTGTCGTTTCGGTGAGGTGACGAATGATCGATACGTCGAGCTTTCCTGCGCGATTGGTCTCAAAGGGTTAATCGACGAGGCGATTGGCTCGCCGTTTCACACGATTCAGAGGCTCCGGCTGTCGCTCTCGATAACGCTCGCTGTGAAACTCCACACGGCGTATCGCCGGGGCGGCCGAACGTTTTTCCCCAACAACGCCAAATTTAAACTCGCGTTCTAACTCGTACAGTCGGAACGATGATTCCCTTCGCCCTCCACTTCGTGATGAACGGCTCACTAAAAATATGCGGAGTGAAAATAAATCGTCCGATCCGCGTCGCGGGCGTTTATGATCGATCGACTGTGCGTTCGCGGCGGATAGTCGAAAACATATAAATCGATCTCGCACGCTGTTAATACACGGGGTGAGACGCTAACTATTGCCATCCGGAATATATTCGGGAAGTAAAAATATTTTATCAGCGACTGGATGAGGAAAGAGGAAAAGGTTTACATTTGGAGAGTGTGTCTAAATATATAACGTAAAGAATTTTATTATTACCATTAAAAGAGGACTCGTGCATTGCTGTAATATAATAATAATAATGGGAATAATAACAATCCTTATATTCTCGGGAAGAAGTTTTCCTAGTAAGCAAGAAAATCATTAGCACGTTATTATAATGATATTTTGTAACGTGTAACATTTCCAATATGTAATTCTTAATGTTATATAGAACGTCTTTATTAACAATATTTGGCCCAAACATTAAAAATAATATTTCTACACTGTAATTTTAATATTTAGGAATGCTATATTATCAAATAACAGTTTAAAAGTATTTATAAAATATCATATCAAAGAGTTTGTAAAATCCACATGAAATCAAAAGATTGACTATTTTTCTTACTTACTGAGTATAAATACAAAAAAAGAAATCGTAATTGACAGACGATATTTTAAGAATCAAAAACTTTAGGAAACAGAAACCACAACATAAAGTTACCAATATATAATTTATAAATTAAATAAAGAATGTGTGTGCGTATGTGGTAAAATAATTTAAAATAATTGTGAAATTGCATACATGACTAAATTTTTAAATATAGAGATGTATATGGTAAAATAAAAAATAAATAATATATATAATTTCTGTAATATAGATCAATCTTTTTCTTGCTTTCGATATTTCTAAGATATTCAAAGTTATAAATAATAGTTCTCAAGTGGAGCAGAAAATGAGGCCAAAATGATAAGGAGACGATCGAAAAATAAGTTTTTATGGTAATTCTCTTGTCATTTTGACGTTATCGTGATTTTCTATTTTACCTGGATTATCATTTCACTTTGTACAGTGCACTTTGTGCCTCTGCAAATGAGCATTACGTCAAAATTAATTATCACTTGCCAAATGTAGAACGTAAATATAAATAGTGAGATATGTGAGAGTTGAGCAAACAAAACCAAAGATTCTGGTCTTACACATGTCCTTGGCTTATTATATTCAATATTGTGTTCCGAGACGAAAGTACGGAAAGATAAACGCTTATCGTTCTTTAGGATTTTCTGCTCTTAAACGTTAGAAATGTTATTGTTATTAACAAACTTTTTTCGCTATTTGTTAAAATATATAAGATAACATAAAGAATGTTATTGTTATTATTAAAGGAAAACACGTGTGTTGAATGAAACACATGTGTTGAATGAAAAATCATCGTGACATACGGACAATTTTTGGAAGATTTAAAATCACGAGAATTATAGATTTGTGTATTTCCTGCCAATTATTATTAATATATCATTATTAAAACTCTGCGAATCCTTACATTTTTAATCAGAACTGGATAACTCGAGCGAAAGCTAAGGTTACATTAAATTGAACAATATTATTTTGTTCGTGTTTTCATCAAATGTGACGTTAAAAATAAAGAAATAAAGCGTCGTGACGTATGGATATTTTCATAACATACGACACTTATCAACTTAAAAAATTGTTGATTAATTTATAAAAAATTATATTTTATCATATATATATATATCCTAATTTTTTATAAATTAATAAACAATTTTGTAGACATTTTAAAAACGCCTTTAACTTTTTTGCACGTAATATTTGTATCTAAAATAATAATTTCCGCAAATTTCCGTTTTTTGCTCTCCGATATCTGCTAATCATTTTTACTCAGTACAATTGTGCAATTTCATAGAGTTAATGGAAGAATGGCGAATTGGCTTAAATGAAACGTTATCATTCGTACAATGCCAATTTCGTGTTATCTTGAAACGCTCATGCGGCACAATAGCTGTACCGATAGTAAGACAATTACATTCAAGGTCGGTTTGCGAGACATCTATTCCGAATCGTCTATTGAATTGATCTCGATTGGAATTTACCACGATAAAATCGAGTCCAATCTTAATTACAGATCGCGATCACGAGAGTATTGTTTCTGTCGTGCTGCGTTTACAAATATCAATTTAACGCCAATTAAACATCGACTTAACGGATAAATGATCTGTGGATTTGCATTTGTTTTCGTTAGTGCACATACAGAAAATATTTCATCACTTCTTGTATATGTTTACAAATAAATATAATTTAGACGATGTTTATTGCTATTTATCGATTTCTATCTGTGTTTATTAATTTGATCGTGAATCGCAAATTCTAATTTATGGACCACATTTTAATTTATTACACATATATGTTGCATAACTTGATCACATATCTAATGACAAATATGTCTTCCTGATTTTTCAACCGAGATAACATTACGCGCAATTTTCATGTAAGACAAATGCAACGTAGAGATCAGACGGCCGCATTTAGCGCTAAATATGGTGCTAAATGCGGCCGTCTGATTTTATATAGGGTGTTTCAGTGACAGATATCAATATATTGAACTTCGAACCTTGAACTTGCCGCTAGGTACAAGAACATATACTTATAAATTAGACCACTCTGAATAAAAAAATATTTCATTACCGTTTGGAAAATAACACCCTTACATGGTCATTTTCAATAATTAATAACTCGAAATTTTGCGTGTTGTTTACGAAATGTTAGAGAGCAAAATGGTAGAGTTTTTTTCGTTCACTTCAATCCGTTCTACGCCTCACTAAGTTTGCCCATGCGGATCTGGGACATTCCGTATACATATCGCAGCCACAATATAGATTTAAAAATCTAATGAGCTTTTAAAATTATGCGCGAGTCAGTAAAAAACGCAATATTACGAATTGCAGCTACGACATGGTGCATTTCGGACACGCGAACTCCCTGAGACAAGCCAAAGCTTTGGGAGATTATTTGGTGGTGGGTGTCCACAACGATGAGGAGATCGCCAAGCACAAGGGACCTCCGGTCTTCACCGAGCAAGAAAGGTATCGTTGTTCTGCTGTTTCACGAAAGGAAGTTACATAAGACTTAATTGTGACTCACGCTCTTGATTGTTTATTCTGACCTCGGTTATTATGTGTTAATCAACCCGTTATTCTACATATTTACATTTTTGAAGGACGCGATATTAGATACTCATTATAGACACAAGTGTCCTTCGTCGACCGCTACTTGAATTCCTTTGTTTTTGCAACTTGCAAATACTACAGTGTTTTTAACTTTAACAGTGGCTTTAACTCCTTAATATGCTAATTCATTTTATTGTAATTAATCATTCGCTTATTATAATTAGTCATCACTCGCATATTAACTTGGTATATCGTCACTTGACACGATTGTGGAATATCGCAGTATTAAGTTATAATGTAATATTTGATATTAATCGTATTATTTGGACGAATATCGGCATAAGAGGAAATTGATAATCGCGACATTCCAGCAATATTATCATTTGATACCATTAATTTATACTATAAATGATTAAGATTGTATTATAAATTGGTAATTAACTATCGATGAATTAATTATTAATTATATTAATTTGATATTGATGGTCTTTACCAATAACATGTATTTAGTTATTAATTCACGTAACATCTTGCGCGTCGAACTTGTAAATGATTGACGTAATATTTGCTACTCTCTGATCCTATCGAGCATCGAGAAATGTCTTATTCAAAGTAAGAAATATTTGCTTAAGTTATATATTCACCATCGCTTGAGGATAATAAAAAATTAATTCATTCCGAAGGTATAATCTTGTCAGAACTGACGGGTTCTAGCTGGAACCTTGACATTATAGGTTAATATCTTTCCAAGAAAGAAAAAGCTGAAACTAAGCTGCAAAACGCAACAGCGCGTAAAGTTATATAAACGAAAGAACCTCGCCTCGTTAATTCCGTTTCCGCATTAATAAATTTCCGGGTTCAATTAAGAAGGTTGTAAGGCGAAACAAGCTTGATAAGAATTCGATAAGACTTGCATCAAATATATAGTGAAATATTGTCTAATTGTTCATGCAATTAAAGAGAAATTGACCGAGAGCTGAAATATCTGCAACTCAAGTTGACACTTTTTATACATGTTCGATTTTGACGAAAAACTACTGATATTAAAGATTAATATACAGATATTACACATAAATTTCAGAATTATTGACCATTTTGTTTTGAAAATACAATGGTGTCAAATTCATAATTTATAGTAATATTCGAAATATATATATATGCACATATTTAAACACTTATATACCTCTTTCTATTATTTGTGCACCTTTATTAGTTCAACTTATGTATAAATATAGCATTAATAAGAAAAGTACAAAATAATATTTTGGTACTTGTAATATTTTGTATATATGTTTACTTGAACATTGTTTCAAATTAACATTTATTATTTAAATAATGAAATAAATGTAAAGACACGTAATTTTGCTTGATAAATACTCAGATCTATATTCTGAATTCACTTATATCGATAAAAGTAGCATAGGGACCACATTTAAGGCATTTTTATCGATAAAAGTGAGTTCAAAATGTAGACCTAAATCTCCGAATAGAATCCTTGATGCATCACTGAAAATATCACACTGAGCCTTACAATTTCCTTAAAGATTTATGCAGTCACGCAGAATTGTGACGAATACATCGATTTCGCGCGGAGCTTAAAACGTGGAAATTTACAACTTCAGCATGACTATATATGTGTATTGACGGTAACATATGAAATATCTTTTACTCAGGTACAAGATGGTCCGTGGTATCAAGTGGGTGGACGAAGTGGTCGAAGCTGCGCCTTATGTGACCACATTAGAAACGCTGGACAAGTACAACTGTGATTTCTGTGTACACGGCGACGATATCACAACCACAGCGGATGGCGTGGATACGTACCACTTAGTCAAGGCAGCCGGCCGTTACAGGTACAATTTTGTCAACATTACAAATCTCAAAAGTTATTATATAAAATAACGTCCACTCGATTATCCTAATTTTGTTAAGGTTCTTGGTTTTTCGTTGCAGTCGCCTTGTTTGATGACGTCGGAAGCGAAAAAATGCATGGCCAAAATTCTCACGAAATACGTTGAAATCAATTCTCTAAGTCGATGTTTAAGAGTGATCATTAATTTTCACGTCCATTTATAAAGACAGAATCCACAGTATAGGGTGAGGTAATAAAATAAGATAGAAGCGAAAATCACGATAACATTAAAATGATGAGAAAATGAATAAGAATTCACTTTTCGATTGTTTTTTCATCATTTAAATGTCATTTCCACGTTAACATCTATAAAATAGCATTTATGATCGATTGAGCACATTCGCCAAATATTTCGAAAACTTTCCATTTGCTTTACCGACCAATAAATAACTGTAAAATTAACATATGTAATCTTTCTTTTTAGCCTGTCCTATCTCATGATTTTATCATGTTAATTTCATGACTTTTTATTGACTGTTAAAGTAAAAAGAAAATTTTCAGAATATTTTACAAATATGCTCGATCGATCACGAGATGATACTTGTGAACGTATCTTTTCTTCCAACGTATTGCGCAAGAGTTTTCGGTATACGCGTTTTCTCGTTTCTGACTTCATTAATTAAGATTGAAAAGACGATGGATAAAATAATGAGCAACAGCTTACTTCACGAGTACCAATTACAATTTCATGAATAACTGAAAGACCAGAAGCATTTCTATCTATTAGTACACAAACAAACTATTTAATTGATCTTGAATGATGAGAGCGTACTTGTGTTTTGAATTTTTACATCATATTGATTTCGCCATGTAACACTTAGCATTTCCGTAGTGTTTTATTTTGAAGTGTTTCCTTGGTTTTCAGTGAGAAAAATTATAAAATTAAACTATAACGTAAGTACTTAAATAATTCAAACAAAACCGTCATTAATCGAATTACTGTTAAAAGTGACTTATTTCAACCTATTTAAAGAGAATTTTGATCCCACGTGTTTAGATGGATAAAAATGCATCGTGTTCAGCGACCCAAAAACACAAGATTACATGTATATCTGACGTTATACTTTCTACACCAAAATCGGCCCATTTTACTCGTCATCCTTTAACACGTGCATTGCCAAGCTGAAAATTGGAATTTCGTATTTTTTTATTTTTTCGTTTAGTTTTTATTGTGCTCAAAATAAGTTAATATATTATTTATATGCTTTTATTATTATGTACATAGGATTTATGTACTCTAAATATCTATTACGCGATAACGCGTGATCGGCCGTTTTCTGAGAACTCGCATCACGCGATATCGCATGATTGGCAATGAACGTGTTAATTTTTCGTTCCTAATCCCCTATATTTAGTTCTTTGTTCCTGATTCCCTGCATTGTGTCCGAGCTTTAAAAATGATCGCAAATGATGACTCCCCGCTAAAAGAAAACCGTTGCGATCGGATTCCAGAGAAGTCCAACGTACAGCCGGCGTCTCGACGACCGATCTCGTGGGCCGCATGCTTCTGATGACGCGGCAACACTTCCGACAGGGCGACAGTGAGTACAGCGTCGACAGAGAGCCCAGCAAGCGCATGGGCCAAGATCGAACCGCGCGCAACCCGTGGACCGGTTGCTCGCAGTTCTTGCCGACTACGCAGAAAATAATACAGTTTAGCGACGGCAAGGCGCCACAGCCGGGCGACAAGATCGTCTACGTGGCGGGGGCGTTTGATCTCTTCCACGTGGGCCACTTGGACTTCCTGGAGGTCGCCAAGAAGGAAGGCGACTACCTTATAGTCGGCCTGCACACGGATCCCGCCGTTAACCGATACAAGTGTGGCAATCATCCCATCATGAATCTGCACGAGCGGGTTCTCAGTGTGTTAGCGTGTAAGGTGAGCCTTTGTTTGGCGTCGATCGCCCGGGAACGCGCGAATGGGAAAACAGAAGCTACAGCTATGGGCGATGTAGCGTCTGTTTTTTTCTTTTTTTTTTTCTTCTTTTTGCATATATCATCTGACACATAAGAGGGACGATTTCCATAATTCCCGAGTGTGTAGTGGTACTTCACCAACAGCTCCGGACAGATTTTTACGCTATTGTCCGAGAGATAGCATAGAAACGAGCTACATCGTGCCTCCGGGCTTTTTATACAACGCGTTTTCTCTTGTGTATTTACAGTACGTAAATGAAGTTGTAATCGGCGCACCATACGAAGTGACGAGAGATCTGATGGAGCATTTCAATGTCTCCATTGTGTGTCACGGACAAACGCCTATAATGCCCTGCGAGGATGGCTCGGATCCGTACGCGGAGCCTAAGCGGCAGAATAAGTTTAAGTTGTTAGATAGCGGTAACGACATGACGACCGAAAAAATTGTCGAAAGGATCATTCTGCACAGGTATGTTCTGCTGTTATTATTCCACGTATTTTTCGGCAGTGTCTTGCAATCAGACTCAACAGTGTTTGTACCTGTATCCTTCTATGAATACATCCCGGATCGCATAGGAGTATATTTATATAGTATATTTTTTTAATTAATTAATAAATCTGTAAGAGAAATATTTCTCAAAATATTTTTAATTTACGTGTTACGAAATTAAATAGGCTCATGGATTCGGTAATCAATAAATAAAATTACAAAGGCTTATTAGATTACGTCGCAAGATGAATAAATCCGAAATAAATGAAAGATCAATTCCTTAAATATTGGAATCTACATTTGCACTCTTTGCAGTTATTTAAGAAATATTTAAGGAATTGCAATCTTTGCAATTATTTAAGGAATTAATCGTTGATTTATTTCGCACTATCATCTTCCGATGTGCTCCCATAAGTTTTTGTAACTTTACTTATTGATTACGTACTTCGCCTGATTATAATATTTTTCACTTCGTCAGACAGAGGATAAGACGTGTCCGTAAAAATTGTTTAATATTACCTTGTACTCGTCACACAGTCCAATTATAAATATCAGATTATAATTATCTTAAAGTACGTATTAATAGCATACTATGTGTTATTAGCGAACTTTACGATATCGTCACAATTTCATTATATTTTGCATTGCCAATTATGCCAATTATATCGTTCACGCCGTCATATGAATTTACATTTGGTTTTTCTTCGAAGTTGAATGCACGTAGAATATGTTCTTCTTTATGCAGCTCCAGGTAAACAGTAAATGACGATGACGTCAGAAAGACGAGAAAATGATTGCGAAATTCATTCTTCGATCATTTTCTCATCATTTTGATGTCATTTTCTGTTTTACCTGGGCCATTCCTAATTGTACTGTACGTCAAATCAACGCTACACAAAGATTACATTATGCTTTGTTTTATCCCCCCTCCAGGCCGAACGAGCTTCGTACGGTTATTCTGAATTTCAATCGTTGATGGGGCAATCTGGCTGTTTTGTACTCTCCATTCAATTTGCAATAAACTCATGTTTTTCCTATTTCGCATTATAATTTGTTGTCATTCTCTCATCATGTTTCTAACGAGATACATACAGTACTTCCATCTTGCAATACATATTTTCTCGGGTTCCCCACACACATGGCTCTTATATTTCCGCATTTCAAAAGAAACGTCTTTGTTATTCCTTCATTTGTCGTGGCACACGTCGCAATAAATTTTGTTCGATGATCTAAGTATATCTTGAAACATATGTGTCTCAAAGAAACATACGAATATACCTATCAAGTGTTGATCTAGCGTCTAATTGCAGGTTGGAATACGAGGATAGAAATATAAGGAAGGAGAAAAAAGAGCTTGCCGCTTACGAAGCCTTCACGAAGTCTAAGAAAAATAACAGGACTGAATAAAACTATTCGTTTCGCTTCTTCTGTTCGTGACTGTCGCAGCGTGTGTGTGTGCGTGTGCATGTGTATGCGTATGTGAGTGTATGCGCGCATGCGTGTCGAGTGTGTGGTTAGGTGTACGAGACCCATCAGGTTTTATAGAGTCAATACATGTAAATATGGTATTACACTGACACTTAACTTATTGTTTCGAAATGCCTTACGTAGTTGAAGTCAAATATTGCGTCGACTAGCGGCGTGGCTATCAGTGTTGAGTTCAATTCGTTGCGACGCAATGAAAAGGGGTGCACAACGACGACGATTGACGACGACAGTCAGAGACGACACTCTGTATGCAAGGTGTCTCAGAACTAACGCCATTCCTTCCACCCGCGAACTTGTGTACTGATTTCCAACTCGATTTTTTTTTAATAAACACGTAAATCTTTATTCTAAGGATCGCTATTAGCGTACAACGCCTTTCTATCGATTTCTAATAAATTTCAACAGGGCTGCCACAGACCCGGTGAACCGAGAAAACCGGGGAAAGTCGTGGAAAATGTCAGGAAAACCTGAAGAAATCAGGGAAAAATATAAAAAAAAAACTTAAAATTTTGAATTGTATTTACAATTCTCCGTTGGCTTGAATTCGCATTTAGAATTGTATTATGTTACTAAACTTTTAAGTTTGCGTCGCTCTTAAATATTAAAATTTAAGATTACATATTACTCATGGAAAATTCTCCACTGTCGTCTGGTAAACATGTGGAAGTCACATGGAATGTCAAAATTTATTTTCTGTGGCAATCTTGTTCAACTAGAATTTTGACAGAGGACCCGTGGTCAGGTCTTCGTTGAACGTTGAACATTCATTTTCTCCGATCGCAAGTTTCCTTCTCTCTCGTCTCAGACGATAGTCCTAGGACATTCTATATGCATTTCTCGACATATTTCTTAAGGATAACGTCAAGACGAAAGATGCATTGCACTTCTTTCGCAGAGCCTTTGGATGTAGATATGCTTAGTAATTGTCGTTTCTTCACACGATGTGAACATTGTGATGTCGTTGCTTAAAACGCAGATACGCGCCGGAAGTAATCGTAATTATAAATAATCGCACGAGACGCACCGTGGGAGGCGAAATTGAATGTCCTTGAAATCGAGTCGCGAATATTCCGACCACAAATTTCACGCTTGTAAGTTATTTTCATTTATCATGCGTTAATCTTCTTATCACTTCGCTCTCTGTCGTTATATTTTCTCTCTCTCTTTCTCTCGCACGCTTTCTACGTGTATACGCAGAGTATTTGTTATCTCATTCGGCTAGTAACATAAGCGAACGCGAGTATAGTTTGAGTTATATTCGAGTATAATTGCGTTAGATCCTCAGAGACTGATCGTTTCTGTCGTGCAATATTAATCGTACGCTTTTCACGCAGTTAGAGAATATTTTACATCCTGATATGAGATGCATCCTGAATTAGTTGAAAGTATCTGTACCCGCGAACGGAACTGTATCTGAATATTACACACGATTCTCCATTGTAGAATTAACTCGGAGATGTAGCTGAGATATACTCGATTCGGTCTAACTAATTGGAAGTTCCTGAGCGCTTGCGTATGCTCATCGGGTGTCTCTCGGCGATGCATTTTGATCGTTACTTGACGACTGCGGTATTTATGGCCAAAATTCCTCCCTTAGACCGAAAGGTCTTAGACCAGTTAGAACATAGTCGGTGAACGTTACGACGGATACGCTTTGTCGAGGAAATTACAACGTGTAATTTAAGTGTTAGATTTTTTAACGCGAAACTAAGATATATCGTACGCCCACCACAACAAAAGGAAATGTCAACGGAGCCAAAGATTCGCTAGATTTAAGGCGCGCATCAGGTATAATGAGCTCAAGTTATCGCGTGTCTTCGAATTTTAGCTTAGTCTGCTTCCGGAGAATGAGAAAATCGCACGATCTTTCATTCCGATCGTGAGATAGCACAATGTTCAGAATCATGACATAAGACATCTCTAAGACAGCTTTACGTTTTAGCCTTTGTCTACAACCTTGCTTTAAAACGTAAACAGTAAGCAAATTAATCAATCACAGTCGTTTATTAGAAGAATAATCAACATGGTTGGTCAATTTGCTTACGACTTACGTCTTAAAGGCTGTGGACAAAAGATATAAGGGCTTCAGGAAAATCTGTAAGATTACGAAATTATTAAGAGATAAGTAAGATGTCTTAAAGATATCTTAAAGACATCTTACGCTCCGATTTTGGGTATTGTGCTGTCTGGGATACGTCAAAATATAAGACAGAGTTCCTAAACAGCACAAAATTCCGAAAGACGTCCAAGAGACATCCTAAATTCGTTGCACATCTTTTGGCCGTTTTTTCGACGTCTTTCGAATACTGTGCTGTCTGGGTTACAAAAGATCCAAGAGATGATTCGAGCTGTTCACTTCGGCCAAAATATGATGCGATTAATAAACGCTAGTTCTGCGACGTTAAATATTAAGAAATCGCAACGGACGATGACCGTCCGTTAAATTTCCGCCGCGGGAAAATTGCGGAACGGTGTAGTTCGACGAATTATCGTGGCTGGATGATCATTTGTCGAGCCTGGGACGCCATCGTGTGTAACGGACAAAAGCAAGTTCCTCCGTACGTGACACGACGACAAATGAACTAGATTACGCAGGAAAGAGGTTGTACAGTTTGTGATTTTCTACGGGAGAATCAACGCTGAAACGAATTGTAACGCGCAGAGAAAAATTCTGTTTTATCTTTTATTTTATAATAAATAATCATTGTACACGTTCGTTCTACAGTAGTTGTCTATAATGTAACTACGCTTCCTAATTACCTTCACGGATCGACCAGGATCGATCGGTGTGTCCTCAGAATCACTCTTTCGCGCTACCGCTCCTCGCACGATCATTATTAATTTATTATCAATATTATTATCAATATTATTATTAAGTACATAATACTTTGGCCCTTTCACAGCGGATCTTGCTTTTTCTAGAGAGAATTTTGCCGCAGGACTCTTACGTAAAGATTTCCTGTTAGTCGCATTTCGCTTTCGGGAATGTCAAGTTTAAACACCAATTGCCAATTTTGAGATCACTCGCATTAACTTTCAATAATTTTAATGATTAATATAGAATTTATTGGATGCGTAATCTGAATCTAGAGATCTTCTCGCGTGGGTTTCCCAGGCTTCGTAAGTTATCCGATCGCTAGAGGAATAAATAAATCCGCAATTTATCGAAGACTCTCTCTACAATATCTTTTGATACGATTGGGACGCCATAATACGTATACAGTGCTTCGTATATGATGTACGTGTAAATCGTTCACTGTCGAAGGATACGTTGTAAATTGCGGACGCTTTGTCGCGCGTGTTTATTTACAAGGTGATATAAATTGGTGCAACCACCAATATAACCCAGAATAACCCGTCGAGTTCCTCCGCATTTTCGGCGAGGTGCTTATCCTACGATTACGCGAACGATCGATGGATCAGCTCGCTTGATCAGGTCACGTGATAGCATTGCACGTCTGAGAGATTAGTAGTGAGATTGTCCTCTCCGTTTGAGCAATATCGATAGATCGTGAAGCGACTTTCAGAAAAATTGCATTATGTGCGCTCGGAAAGTCAGGTGTACAAATATTACCTAATATTAAAATATCTTTCCTGATCCAGAAAAAAAGCACTCAAGTTAAAAAGAACGTCAACTTTTTTGGAAAACATCCTTTTCTCTCGTGTGTTTAGCTGCTCGTCGACAAAAGGTAAAAAAAAAAATGTATTTGACCAGGCAGTCGAGTAACATTGTTAATTGACTTAATTAACAGTACGATAACCGACTGATCAAAAATGAGTTCTTTTCTTGTGTACTTTTCCACTCAGCATCAGAAATTTAAGGGACGAGAAATCGGGTGTGAGAAAGTGAGTAAGAGAGACGTAGAGGATATCACGTCGAGTCTGTGTTCGCGTTGAGAGAATTCGCATTAAGCAGTGCTGCCTTGTAAATGCGCTCTTATATATGTGTGTGTGTGTGTGTGTGTGTGTGTGTGTGTATTGTAATTGTGAATACCGTATCTACATTGCAAAATAGCAAACGCGCGTCGTGTTATCGGCGTGTTACCTCTAATCGCGCGAAATTCTTTTTCCCACGAGTCATCAACCAATCTTCATCCGCGTTTGAAAGTATCGTTTAGCTCGATCGACTTTATCTCGCAGAAAAATATCTCTCCCGCCGTTCTCTACGTCAATGAGAATTATTTGCGCTCCACGAGGTGGGCGACGCCGTCCCTGTTCAGAATTTCCCGAAGAATCACTTCCCGATAAATTTACAACAATGACGTGCGGGTAACATGTCATACAAGTTAATTTAATCCTGAAAAATCATACGCAGAAAAAAATTCGTATCCAAGACTGATATTCTCATATATAAGCGAAAATATATAAGAAGATACGAAGATAAAACTTGTTTTTACATGAAGAAATTGTATATAGTTACGATTATACAAACCGATACAATTCTTAGTTTGAAGGTATCACTTTTTCTATACGATATTTTTCCCTCTCAATTCAATGAAAATTACTTTTGAGTAACAAAAATATGATATTTTTTAGCGGAACTGTATAAAATTTCTTCATGTAAATAAATTTCTTTTTTATTGTCATATAAGAATCTCTATACTTCTTCGCTTATATATGTGAATATAGGTCTTGAGTTGAGATTAATTTTTTTCCCGTGTAAGATAAAAGTACCAGGACATGCGCGCAATCTTGTACCCATTCTTATTATTTTAGTTTCTAATTACGAATATTTCAGTTTCCGACTATAAATATATGCACGTACATTTAATATAAACATATATTCTATATTGAAAGTTTCAACACTCGTATTTAAAGACAAAAATAATGAGAATGTCCAGGTTTAGGTACATGCCCGGGGTATTGGTACTTTTACGTGTCTCGTTGTCTTCTTCTCTCAGCGGACATATCTCGCGCTTTGGAAGCGGAGAATCAAGCGGCCGCTCGATCGGGCTCGATTAAACCGCGACATCGCCATCTCCCGAGGCGACCTCGATTTTCAGCCCGAACCGGTTGTCCCAGTTCCGACGGAGAAAAGTGTGTCCGTGTGTGACGTGTAACGTCGATTGATACAACGCGCGTTACGCATGGCGCCGCGTGTAATCGCGCGGAAGAGTACTTTCGCGCCGTCCGAGTACCCTTTCACGCCTCTCCAAAGTGCACTTCCCCTTATTGCACCGTCGAGCGGCCGGTGTAGCCGGGCGTGGTGTCGCAGTACTTCCTGGTGCGGTCCCTGACCAGCTCGTCGATGGACTTGTTTTGCTGCATCGACGACGACAGGCTGTGAAGCCGCGACGCCAAGTAGCACATGATAAAGGCCGATAACACCAGGAGAACGCCCAATCCCGTCGCCACGTAGAGGAAATTGCCGCAGCTGCCTTCAAGGCCGGCCGTCACTTTGTCGTACAGGTCTATGATAATGAGAGAATATCAATCAGAATTACAACGATCGTAACCGTCGCGCGCGGCGTGCCGTTATCTCGGACGCCGCTCCGGCCAGACCGTTTAATCTTGATACACTCACCGAATGTGAGAGTTACAAATTAATCTGTCTCCCCGTCGTGAATCTTATCGTCCGGCACGGCCCGCCGAGGAGGCCATGCCGACGGAGGATTAATCTCGGGGCCACGTATATGTACGCCGAACTGTAAATTGAATTCCTCGGCAGCGCGACCGGGGAAGTCGGTTATCAAAAAACAAAATCGGCCGATAAAAGAAGGATCTCTGCCAGATACGCGCGACGTGTCGCTTGATTCGCGACGTTTCCATTGAATTTTGTAGCAAGAAGGCTTATGAATTGCACGGGACGAACGCGTTACGATCGACTTCGAGGAATCGGCCAGGATATCGCGGAACGAGCCCTGAAGTAGAAATTGGATCGTTCTCGCGGATGTCGAGCCACGAGGTGGCGAATTTATGTGTAACCGCGCTACCAGCCGGTAATGTGTAGCCTCTGGAATATAGAGATCGCGGCAATATTTTTCATCAGCCCCGGACACTGAGCTTTATAGGGTACCGAAGTGAGCACTGAACTGTACTTACACTGAACTGTAGAAATCTGCGGTCCGCCGGAGAAAAAGATAGATGAATAGATTAGAGGAACATCCGTCTCTTTTACACACATTGCCATGACGAAGAGAAAGATGCATTCAGAATATGGGTAGCTTTTTCTACGACACTTCTTGATGGCTCACTCCAATATACCATAGAGCTCAATGACTCCGGACGGTTTTGAAGCAAAATGGTAGAACCAATCGATGCTACCATATCCTCACTTTGAGTACCACTACCGCCAGGCAATAACGCTCACTTCTGCTTTCTTCAGATTTTTATGGAATAATGTACTCTTAACTTGGATTTGCTATCTCATTCTTAAATGATAGCGGCAGGTATGCGGCAGCTAGATTATATACTTCAGAATGGATAGCGCTATCTGCTCCATCATTTGAGATACGGGTTAGATAAAGGTTAAACAACGACTGGATTACAAAATTGTTTCCACTGATTCGAGTGAATTTCGCTAGTAACGAACTAGTAACGAGAGCTGGGAAATTTCACTTTGTACTAAGCTACTAACTTTCAACTTAGACCGGCTAAATATATTTCTACTCGGCGATATTTCGATAACTGAACTTCAACTTCAGTTCGGAGCGCACTGCCGTTTCCCCGCGCGAGCGTCGGAATTGTTAAGCGTCGGCCATGAGGGAAGTTGAAGCTCTTGCGCTGTGGGACTCACCATCTGGCATCATCACGGTATATTCGATGTTCTCCTTGAACTTCGTGTACGGTGTGGAGTCGTTGTACCTTTTGATCAGACGCTCGACTTTCGGAAGGAACTCACCCACCGCCTCCACCTCGACCGCTCTTTTCCTCTTTTTGCCGTGACCTGAGGGCTCGAAGAGGTCGAGACAGAAGTCCTGTGGAAAGGAACGAGAGAGACGGGAACTCTAAGTACAAGACAGATAACGGAGAGCAGCGGGGCCCGCTCGAGATTAGATCAATTTTAAATTGCTCGAAATTTCAAATGGATCCAGATAGACGTAGATAGATCCTCCCTCCCCCTCTCTGTCTCTCTCTTTCTTTCCGTATGAGGGCAGAACACGAGCAGATCGTACACAGATATCCCGATTATATATTATCTTTGACGTTGAGTACCGCTATTGATAATGGATTTTGCATGCTCCGCACGCGCGCGCACTGTATCCCGAAATTGTCGCGTCTTCTTTCCGAATTGCACCGGCCCGCTGTACAACCGGCGCTACGATGTATCCGGCGTGATCGAATGTCCATGTACGAGTGCACGAATTCGCCAAAATGACTTTCGACTTGCGTAACACGCGGCGTGTAGCGTGCACCGCCGCCGAGATAGAAAGAGGGAACAGCGCGCTTCGGGATTTAGCACGTAGTAAAATTCGCCGAGCAACGCTCGGTCTCGAAAGCGCACGTTACATCACGTAATAACATCCTTCATTTTTTACGACTAATAAATTAAGGATCGCTCGATGGGCGCCCAGTTTGCGAGGAATGAGCTCCGAATCGACAATGAGGAACGCTGCGCGAGCGGTGACTGCGAATTCGCGACGATTCTGTGCGAGAGCGACCTAAAATTGACGGGAAAAGGCGGGCAAGACCGCCGAGGAGTACCGGATTCAAACCTGTTGCGAGCCTAAGCCGTGACACGTCGAAGAGAAGATGAGAGAGAAAGAGAGAGAGAGAGAGAGAGAGAGTAGGATTTTACATGCCTTGGGTAATACCATTTGGCATTCAGTAGTTACATATTACAAACGGCATGGGTGGAAATAATTGCAGAAAATAATAACGCATAGTACAATTATCTACGGTGGTGCAAACAGTAGGAGTTAATGAACGTGAATATAAAAAGATAATATAAGGTAAATGCTGCATCATGTGTTAAACAGTGAGAAAAAATAAAAGATTAATAATTTTTTAAATAATAATCATAAATGAGCTCTGCTCGCTATACATCGATATAATAAACGATATATACATCCCAGCCAGCAAGAAACCTAAAATTGAGACAAAAGACGTCTTAAATACTTATAAACGACTTTAAGATGTCTCAAAGATATCTCAAGTCCCGGTTTTAGGTTCTGTCTTGTCTGGGATCATATTAAGTGATGGTTAAAATGTTTATGTCCGCTACCACCATCACGGTTTAAATCTAATTGACGATTAATTCAACGGAATTGATCGATCGTATTGACCAATTAGCGGAATGGATTAATGCGATGGGTCGATTCCGTTGAGTTAATCGTCGATTAGATTTAAATCATGACGGTAAACGGGCATTAGTTCTGCATCGCGCTTTGCCACTTACTTGAGTATCAAACGACGAAAAAGGCCGGAAGTTTTACTACGTTCTCAGGTAATGAAAGAAAGAAGAGAGAGAGAGAGAGAGAGAGAGACAGCTCGTTTCCTCCTCGTAATGATATAAATTTACAATGTTATAGATGAGAGAATAAATGATTCCGCTCGCCGCGCGTTGTGGTCGCGCGGCGAGCGGACTATTTTGGAAGAGAGAAAAAAAACGATCTGGGACATCCTGTCCTGACCGGCGTCACGCCATACCCGCTGTCTTGTTACACTCGACGACCGTTGTCACCTTACCGGCTGACAGTCCTGCGGCTCCATGCACGCTTTGATCTGCGAGTGAATCCACAGGGTGGAGCGCTCCCTCATTGAACTCAAGAGGAAAGCCTCGAAGTCGAGGAAGACCTCGTTCTTGCGCTCGCGATACCTCGCCGGCTGATGCGGGATGATGGATGCGAAATCGCGGTTCCTGCAGCCGTCCTTCACGAGCACGACGCTGCCGGGAGCGTGAGGCTGATCTGGGTCGGGACTGACCGTCACCTCCAGCAGCTTGATGTAGCCCCAGGCGCTGTCCGGGCTGATGCGGGCGCGCAGCTGCAGCTTCGTACCGATCGGCACTGCCTGATCGACCGTTTGCGAGCTATCGGACACGTTGCCGGTGGCCTCGCGATAAAGGGCCACTTCGTACTCGAGCCGGCCCGGCGTCTCCTCCACCACGCCTGACACCCGGGCGCCGTGCGGACTGAAAAGATTAACCCTTTAAGCAGACGCGCGTCATCACTTCGGCACGCGACACTTGTCTCCGGACGATCGGCTGAGTGCGTGCTCGCGGAAGAGCGAGAACCAGCGAGTTTGCGGATCGTAATGGTCTCCTGAGACGAGGATTCTTAAACTACGGGGCCCGTGGACCTCTTGACGTTCCGCGAATAGACTTCAGGGATCCCGGATAAGAGGGAAATTGAGTCTTCATATTTTTCTTTACTGAAATCTCCAGCGAAACTTCGCATCGTTGAGAGGAACTTAGTAAATTTATGCCTGTTTCTATCAGTATGGTTGAAATCTAATCGACAATCAACTCAACGGAATTGATCAGTCGCGCCGATCAGTTTAGCTAATTGGCCAATGCGATCGGCCAATTCCGTTAAGTTAATCGTCGATTAAATTTTAAGTGTAACTGCAGAAATGGGCATTATAGTGAATCAAACGTTTCCTAATATTTCGGTAACTGCCCTAAAAAAAATTGAATCTCGTGGGCGTCTAGATGTAGTAAATTTAAAGCACTATGTCGCTATTATAGTCAGTAGTGTAACGCTTGCTTCTCCTAGCGGTTAGATAACGGCTATATAAATAAGTTAGCTGATGGTTAAATAGAAGGAATTACAGTTACAGTTACTATCATATCTAGTTGCCAGGCAGCAGTGTAATGCTCTGCTTTCATAATTTCGCCCGTACTAGCTAGTTACTAGCTTTCGATTCAGGCCGATACTAGATGCGTTTCTACTCGAGTGCGCATCCGGAGTTTTTGTGAACTTCGTGAAGAACCGCGATAATTCCGAAAGGGTCCCTGAGCTCAGATAAGAAGGCGGTTGGGCCTTCATTTTTTGCCTTAAGTTTTTCATTGAAATTTCTACCCGAAAAACTCGATATAAGAATTGATTATTCTTTAATATTTCGCCAACTATATCGGTGCAATCGCTTCCCTCCGTAATTCCACATATTCTGTTTTATACACTGAAAAATATCCCGAGAAAGGTTTCACAACTCTCGTCGTGGGATGTGAAAAGAGTCCACGGCGCGTGAAAGATTAGATTAAGAATCCTTTCTCCAGGAGCGTTCCCCGGCTACGTGAAGGCATCCCACACAGCTAAATCTGCAAAGGACGTCCTAAAGAGGACATGTTACGTCCTAAGAACGTCCCCAGGACATCCCTCGGATAAAGTGTGCAGCACGGGACACGAAGTCGGAGAGAAAGCGTCCGATACGGCGCGCGCGCGACGGGCCCCTTAACTTTCCTAAACCCGACAGATCTGCGACGCGAAGGGGAAAGAGAAGTTACATCATTAAAACAAAGTACCCCCTGACTTTAACTACGTCCGAGTGTTTTACATCAGTGTTCACGAGGTAGCGCGTATGTGGTGCAGATAACCGTTCGCTCGCGCGCGCTCCGGCGAACGCGGCATGGCGGAAATAATGCTCGTTTATTACTCGAGATTCGCCGAGATATCGTGCACGGCATGGGCGCGGTGACTTACAAAGTGCCGGCGAAACCGGCAGCCTTGTGCCTCAGCAGCGTCGGCTCGGGCGGCCGGCACATCAGAATCAGCTCCTGGTCGGCCAGCATCACCACGCCGGGGAAGGCCGGGAACCACACCCGCAGGTGAATGAATCCCTGGTGGGCACGATTAATCGTGATTTATCGCCATTGTGGCCCGCGAGTTGCGCGCCGACCGCCGGTTGCACCAGCGCAACAGCAGCTTTCATCTCGGAATTTGCTTTCTTTCTTTCTCTTTCTCTCTCTCTCTCTTTCCCTCCCCCTTTCTCTCTCACCATTTTTAATTTCCTTCCGTTTTCCACAGAGGGGGACGCTCGATGATGCGTGATGGCGCGACGCGCGCCCCGAGTTTTATCGCGCCGGAGAAACGGGATTCAGATGATACGATGCGATTAAGCAGATACGATTTATCGCGCAACTCATACCGGCGAACGTCCAGCGAGCGCGCGTTGCCGCTTAATATCTCTTTTTGTCGAAATATCCGACGATACCGGGCACGATATACGATCGCGCGCGCGGAAGCGTTTTATTGCTGCCCGCGGTCTCCTCCGAGAGGGACTCGATCGCGAATTAATAGTCGCTTATCGACGCGAACGATCGACCGATCCACACGCAAAGCTTGCCGCCACCGCTGCTGCCGCAGTTGATGGTTCCGTCAGGGTCTGTTTGTGCAACGTCACAGAGCCGCGAGAGAGAGAGAGAGAGAGCAATCCCGCGCGACCCGAGCGAACGCATCATCGGAGGGCCCCCCCCGCGGTGATGGGGGGAGAAGAAACGAGGAGGGAGGGAGGGGAGAAAAATTGGTTCCGCGTAACACTCGCGGATCGCGGAGGGCGGTGACTCACGTTTCTCTTGAGGATGCCGCATCGGGAGAAGTCAGTCACCTTCAGGAAGTAGTTATCCTCCTGCGGATCGCTCGGGTCCGGCCTGATCTGGCAGTGAATGTCGGCGAGCGGGTTCGCCGATCTGTCGTCGGCGAAGAGCGGCGCGCCTCTGAAGCCGACCGGCCTTTTGATCTTCGCTGTCAGAAGATCGGCCGCCGATCCCGCGCCGCTGCACTGAATGTCCGAGACCTCGTAATCCTGGGCAACGGCAGCGGCAACCTGAAACGACCGGCCGGCGTTAATATCGAAAAGGCGCGCCGGCGATGAGAGATCTCAGGGCTCGCTGCGATTAAATCCACCACCACCCTCGGCGTCCCGTCGAGCGTCTGCGCCGATCGTTCTTCCAGCGGGAGTCGAGGTACCGTTCCGCGCGGATTGACTCGTCGCTCTGGAAGTACCGCGCGCGTCCTCGATCTTTCGCCGCTCGCGGCTCCATTTTGGATCTCGTTCGCGGAAAAAAAGGAATTAGCTGCCATTAGCTGGGAAATCAGCTCTCCGTGCAATGCAGCTGATTAACTTAGTTAACAGACCTAATTTTTCGCTATGGCGGCTGATTCTTTTCTCCCGCGTACGACCATAGTCATAGTTGTGTACGACTATACCCAGACGACATAAAACCTAAAACCGTAGACGTCTTAAAGACATCTTATAGAGGTCTTATGTCCCGGCTTTTAGATTCCGTGCTATCTGGGTAATCACACGAATTAGTTCCCCTCCCAGGTAAAAACTAGGTCTGGAATAATTAAATTTCAGCTATATTATACGGACAGCTAGTTTTCAGCTGTGGGAGCTGATTTATTTCTTTCCCGTTTTCGTATTCAATCGCGTCGTAGCTTTCATTTCGTAGCTATAATTTACCATAATTTATGTTCCAGTCTCGGTGATAATTTATGACTACAATCAAATGACTATTCAATCAGGACGGTGTTAACGAATTAATTTATATTACATTTTATAGGATAGTCGATAAAGAGAAGGATGATAAATATCCCTTCTTATCTTCTCTCTGTATGCTTTGATAGCTCGTGTAATATATGTGTGTAATAATTTATTATTCATGTAAAATACGCGTATAATAATTCATTATTTATTATTAATTTACTTTCTGCACAGAGAAAAAGAGAATTCTGCGGTTTTAATAAGATTTCTTTAATTGAGACAAATTTGTCTTTTTTGGAATAGAGCAAACAAACGAATGTTTGATTCAACAAACAGGATTGTTTGATTTCTTAAACAATAAATATTTTTACGTCAAATAACAAATTTCTTTTGTATTTTCACTCAAATATTACAATAGTTGTTGCAAGCAATAAATTATTTGAAAGATGTAGTATTATAAATGTTAGAAAAATATTAAAGAATTTTTTCTTTTTCTTGTTTCAGTGTAATAAT